TTGGCTAGTAGCTTTCATTCAAATCTTATATTTGTATATAACTGTTACTATTATTATAACCTATCATTGTCACTATCAGGATTATTATTAGAATTAGTAGTTATATTATTATTATCATTATTATTATTGTTATAAGGAATGATATCGTTAGTGTTTCATGTTATTATCATTAGGATTGTACTTTTATTTAAGTAGTATCATTGATATGTCCTAATCGGAATAAGTATTCCTTCACATACATTGAAAGTGCTGAAAACAAGGGAGAGATGTAGTATCCAGTAATTATGAATAAACGGATCAGAAAGACATGAGTGAATCATCACCATCGCAATGCGGATAGGTTGAAATAATGATAAGGAGATTCATTAGTGTCTGGACGATCGTACAGTGCACATCGGTGTTTAATTGTGTTACCCAATCCCAGTATATTACAGTTATCATGGCAGATATTTGGCAAAATACCTACGAATACTTGTAGACAACAATGTCAAAATAGAATCGATTATTAAAACCAATGCGACCAACAAAGAACTGGTGAAAACAGCTCTCGATGGCTCACAAAGCTATACAAAAAATGATGCGGTCATACTTTGGCCAAATGAATGCTCTCCGTGTCTAGTCGAAAATTTCATGTTCCAACTGAAACACACAAACTCACTGACACTTACAGAACCATATATCATGCATAATCCCAGAATGAATGAAAAAATTTACTATACCAATCTCAATTTTTTCAAATACATCCATTTCAAGAAAACATCTTCTAGATGTGCTTTAGACACAAATGCTATTTTGAGGAAATATAATTACCACTCTGATGGTTTCAATATTAATGGACAAGGTAAATGGTTTCTAGCTAAAGCCATCATAAATAACATAAAGGAACTTTTGATCAGTGACAAACTACAGACCTCAAGGTCAACACCCCATGAGACTAAACAACCTATTCCAACAAACAGTGGATCAAAATCTCTATATCCAAGACTATCACAGCTGTGCTTTGAAGAGGATCTCAACTACACTACGGACATGTCGCAGATTAATAAAACCTCAATAAATTGTTATTCAGATGATTCTACCACTAAAAAAGCTGAACCAAGTGAGAATGTGTCGAATAATACAAATTTTTTATACCCAAGACTTTCACAAATGGACCTAGACAATTAATTAATCAGCATGTCACTCATAATACCGAAACTATCTCAGTCATTCATCAGAATATACAATGCATAAGTAATAAAATTTTAAAATTAGAAGTACTGCTTAGTGAACTCGAACCGGATTTCTTACTCATCAGTGAACACTGGCAATGCTTAGATCAAATGAGTGCCATTAACTTTGAAAACTACAATCTCAGCTCTCAGTTCTGTCGTCCAATTTTCAAACATGGTGGTGTCGCTATCTTCGCGAATTCTAAATATCAGACGAAGGTGCTTGGAGACATAGAAAAACTGTCCCAACTTCAAATTTTCGAGTGTTGTGCAGTGGAAGTCAAGAATCCTAGTCTGATTTTGATATGTATATACCGTTCACCCAATTCTGATAACGGTCTTTTCATGCATAAGCTCAATGAAATGTTTGATCTGCTATCGAATATAGACAAGCCCATATTGATTGGTGGCGATTATAATATAGATTTATTGGCAAACAATAATATAAAGCGTAGCTTCACTGATTTGATGACCAGTTATGGTATGTTGCCAACCAACACAGAAGAGCCAACACGAGTAACTCCAACTTCCTCCACTCTAATTGATAATATATTCATAAACGAGCTAGTAACCTCAGACAACTCCATAATACTTAAAACAAACATATCAGACCACTTTGCTCAATCAATATCTATTGTTGTATCGATGCCTACTCCTGAAAATCATCTCAACCGCAGGAGAAATTTCAGTAAGAGTAATGTCTCGTCATTCTGTAATTTCCTCAGCTCAGAAATCTGGTATGAAATATACAGAGAACCTGAATGTGATATTTCCTTCAATAAGTTCATGGATACTATCAATTATCATTTTGAAAATTCTTTCCCATTACTTAGGTATAATAAATGTAGAAAAAATAATTTTTTAATGACACCAGAATTACTTCAGCTGAAAGCGGAGGTCTCACTGTATGGAGATCTAGGTAGGATATATCCTGAATATAGAGATATATTCAATGATAAGAATAAATTATATCAAAAAACCCTTTCTGAAAACAAAAAATTGCTTTTTGATAACAAGGTGTCTAAGTCTACAAATAAAAATAGAGCAATTTGGGATGTCGTCAATACTATAACTGGACGTAAAACAAAAAAATATCACCCAATTGAGTTATGCATTGATAATGAGATTTTAGTAGGTGGTGATTGTGCAAATGCTTTCAATGAATTTTTCTCATCTCTAGCTTCCCAAGTCACTTGTGACCTTTCATCTACTGTAGACTACACATATATTGATACCTGCATCAGTGCCTCTATCCAAAATATATTTTTTGCACCAGTGCAATGTCAAGATGTGTTGGAAGCTATTAGAAATTTAAAGAGTACAAATTGTTCAGGTTATGATGGTTTATCGAATGTACTGTTGAAGGAAATCGCTGAACATATTGTTGTACCTCTCACTCACATTATCAATTTATCCCTCCAGCAAGGAGTATTTCCTTCTAGGCTGAAGATATCCAATGTCATTCCTCTTCACAAAAAAGGTGATTCAAATACTGTAGATAATTATAGGGCTATTACTCTATGCTCAAGCATAGGCAAAATTTTTGAAGCTGTCGTCAACAAAAATATCATTAACTTTTTAACATCCAATGGTAACTTGTCTCTATGCCAACATGGTTTCACGAAGAATAGAAACACTGACACTGCACTTTGTGAATTTTTAAATAATATATATAAAGCTCTCGATGATAAACAAGTGGCACTGGGGTTATTTATAGATTTTTCCAAGGCATTTGACTGTGTTCGGCATGATATTCTTCTGTATAAATTGGAGAGATATGGAATTCGTGGAGTTACTCTCCAATGGTTTGCATCATATCTGACTGATAGACAACAGCAGGTTAAATGTAATAACTATATTTCTGATTTGAAATCTGTGAATATAGGTGTGCCTCAAGGATCCATTCTTGGTCCAACACTCTTTATTATATATATCAACGATTTAATTGAATCAATGAGATCACACTCTACTCAAGTAGTAGCTTATGCTGATGATACAAACTTTCTGTTCATTTCAGACACTGTTTATAATGCTAAAAAACAGGCCGAACTAGTTTACATGAATGTTTGCAAGTGGGTTGATGTGAACAAGCTTTGTCTGAATAATGATAAATCGACCTGTGTTATTTTCAAATCTTCTGGTTCAGAATATCCTAACCACGTAACTCTAAATAATACAAAAATCAACTGCGCTCTAAATACTAAATTGCTTGGTGTTATTTTAGAAAGTAACCTGGAGTGGTATGGACATGTAGATAGTTTGTGTTCGAAGCTAGCTAGGATATGCTATGCCCTTTTCATTTCATCACAACAATGTAGTAGAGAAATCATTAAACAATTGTATTTCGGATGCTTCCACTCAAATTTAAAATATGGAATCATGCATTGGGCGAATTCCGCAGAAGCTCATAGGGCCTTCACCTTACAAAAAAGGGCAGTCCGTATCTTGGGAAATCTGAGAGCAAGAGATTCATGCAGGGAATATTTTAAAAAACTGGGTATCTTCACAATGATTTCCCTTTACATTTATGAAGTAACCTGTTTTGTATTTAATCATAAACGTTATTTTGAGACTGAAAAAGTCGAACATAATTACAATACAAGAAACAAAGATTATCTGTTGCCTCCTCAACACTCATCTGCTCGGTATCAGAAAAGTTTATATTACAATGGATGTAAATTATACAATTGCCTGCCAAAATCTATACAAGAATCAAAAAATAAATTCCAATTCAAGAATAAAATGAAAAACTTGCTCCTGAAAAAATCTTATTACACCTTGGATGAATTCTTCTGTGATCCAATCATCGCTGACTGATGAATAATGTTTTTAGAGTAGACGTTCATATACTTTTTATGTTTATGTACCTGTGAAATCTTGTATATTATTATGTTTGTTTTATACCTACGATATTTATTTATTTATGTACTTTAGCCTGATTTTGACGTTTTTTTCTTAAACTGTATGTTTTTGAAACAAATAAATCTATCTATCTATCTATAATTACTAATTATCACTAATTATCGACAAAAATATGATTTTCTTCAGAAAATGATAATCTCCCCTTCAAAATTCTGTTATGTTTGATGCAAACATAACATCAAAATTAATTCTGTTATGTTTGGTCAAGCATTTAGAAACGAAATTCATTCAAATTTATTTTTTCAGTACTGAAAAGATCAGTTTAAATGAATTTCGTTTCTAAATGATTGACGATATATCAACTTTGCATCAAACATAACAGAATTTGTAAGCGGGCATTATCATTTTCTGAAGAAAATCATATTTCTGTCCATAATCAGTGATAATAAGTAATAGAAAGTAAGTAGCATGAAAAAGCTACTGGTATGAAGTTGTTTCGTGGAATTAACAATAACAGAAATTTTGAAAAATTAAAAAAAAAATTCAAAATCTAAAAGTTGCAATAGAAAGATCAAATTCGAGAAGCATGTGTAAAATTGGAATAGAAACAACTTTTTCGAGTAAACTTTTTCGATATTCGAACAAATAAGTCTACTTTCAGCGATTAATTTGAAAAAATGTCACTTTTTGACATGAAGCGAAAGTCACGTGACCCCGATTGAGTAGGCCATTTTCCATCTTTTTTGAAGCAAAAATTAACGTCCAACTCGAATTCCAAAATAAGTCATTAATAAAAGTTTTTCCCATATTATTATGATGCCGACTTTATGAATGACACTGTATATGGTTGAAACATGTCCACGCAATTTCGTGACACCCTGTGTTTTCCTCAATTCAGTCATGTGTACCAGACATCATGTACATTACCCAAGAAATGATAGAAATGTGGTTTGCATCCACACAACTTGATGGCTAGCTGCTTCCTGCACGTCATTTGACAGGTGGCAGTACTGTACACCCCCATATCGGCGGCGAAAGGTTCGTCTTCGAATCGACAATTGCGCTGAGAGGGTTTCAAAGATCTTATATCCGGAGAGGAATCGGTTTCTATCATCTTGTAGTCGACTTCCATCTCTTCGCTTGATCCTATTTCGAACGAGGATTTTGAGGTAATCTGTGGAGATTCTATGAGGGAATGTACGAAATACTGAAAATTTCATAAATTTATTTTCAACCAATATTAGAAGGCTCCTTTTCGTTCACGTTACTAGTAGCTACGAGAAATAATCTGTTATGATTGCACGAGGTCATGAAAATTACCGATAATTTTGCAAGAAAGCGTGTTATCTAAAAATTGCAGAAGTTTATTTCCATATTTTGGCGAAGGAGCATGAATCCGAAGGACGAGGGCTCTTTTACAAAATATGAAAATAAACGAATGTAATTAACTTGTGTTAGATAACACGCTAGAATGCAAAATTTTCCAGTCATTTTTATGGACGAATGTGATTCATTGGAATATTTCACGAAAAAATAAATTCCCGATAGATTTGAATGGAGCACTAACTAAAACGCGACATTTCTTTCACTTTTTGAAGTCTATCTGCCATTTATTCGTTCTGGCAATTCAATCTTAGCACTGCAGTGCAATTACTGCTGTAAGTTTTCGATAATTGCATTGCTCTTATACAGGATATTTTATATATCAGGGAAATATTCGCGATAATTTTGTTAGTTTATATTAACTTAATGGGATCAAAAGATGATAATTTTTCTATCAGAAAGCGCCTTATATCTATTGGCAAGAGTCACTCAGTTTCATTCGAAACTATGTAGACATGTAATATCAGATGTTATATGGTTGAAAACGAATTAATGTTATTAGTGTTCCTGGAGTTTAAGTGATAAACCTCAGTTACTAATAAGTAGAATCAACTTCTATCGTAAAAATATAGTGTATCATATTTATATAACTGAAATATGTTTTTCCTACGACTACAATTGTAAGTGATGAATATTTTGTTCACAAAACAATGTCAGTAAGCTCGCTTTAATTAACTTCTATTATTAAAATATACCTAGGTAGTGCGTGATATTTAACTATAAAGTCATCGGGAATATGTTTTTTGAAGTTTTATTTGAATATAAAACTATAAGGACATTGGATTTCAGATATTTGTTATTTAGTAATAAGAACGAGTTGAACCTAGGTGACAAATTTTATTTTACATCTACGCAGAATAGGTTGTAGGGTTCATCTTCTCACAATATGCAAAGCAAAAAGCAACTCACATTCATACATTTTTTTTCTTGGTTTCCCTCATGTTTTTGTTGCTAAGAAATTATCGGTGATAATTCTGCTGCTAGGGAGATTATAAGTGGAAATCGTTGATAAAGAACTCCGTTTTTCCTCCACCTTTCCGGTATGTATATATCGGTACTCACCTTCAAAGGTCTGTCAAGATCAGAATCGTATCTTGCGTAACATAGACCATTCAGGTAATGGCATTTCAAGAGGTTCGATTTTTCTTGTTTCGTATTAATTTCATCACCATTTCTGTGAAAAAAAAAATTGAAAATTGTCCCACAGAATAGTGTTCGTCTTAACAACAATATATAAATTCAAACTTGAAAATATTTTATCGCAATATCCCAAACCTACGTGGTGCTTCAGTATATATATTCACTATTTCTTACTTGACTGATAGCAAATTGGCCAATTTTGAATTGAAAGTGAAACAGACACCCAATTCGGTCAATATCAAGCGCCAAGCTATCTTCTGACTTTTTTCTACTGTCACCAAACTTCCAGAAAGCGTTGGATGTATCTAAGAATACAAAAGGTATATTTTTTCTATTGACATTTATGCATAGAGCTCAGTAGGTTTCTCATTACCTTCATTACTAAATCAGGAATGTCTATATCTTCCAAGGTTTTGTCATCTTTAAAATCCACAAAATCTTCGAAATTGTAGTAGGTTACATTCGATACGAAATACAGAAACCTCAAATAATACTCGTATTTTCCGTGGTTCGAACTCACTCCCCATTTACTAAAACAATTCGAAATGAATATCGACGAAATACCTTATTCAACCTGTATTAGATTTTACCACACCTCAGAATATATTTTTCAGCTTTATCGAGATCCACCTTGTCATTGAAACAAGCAGTGGCGGCCGGAAATATATTTTCCCAGTTCCTGAAGTCTTTCTCTATGGAGATGACGGTGGGATTTGCAGAAAATCTTGTCAAATTCGAAATGAAGACTGTTACTGCAGCGCAAATGGCAGCAAAAATTACAGAGAGCCAAAATATCCTAAAAAAACATGTTTGAAACTAAAAATTCGAGAAAATCTCATTACCCAGTTCTGATTATCAAAAAAAACACAATACCTTTCGAGAATATGCAATTTCGGCATACCCACTATATTCATTCCATGGATGGTGGTCTCTTTGCAAAAATGTTGAAAATATGGCCATATTAATCTTTTACACTGGCCCTTATTAGCACGGTTGAAGGACGTGAATTTTCCAGCTTTCACGATTTTCATTTTTATCATCAACTGCAACTATGGCCAATGGTTTTCACTTTAATAAGAACGAAAGAATCTGTTTTCTCGACCCGATTCTATCAATATAGAAATGCCATTTGATTCCTTTTAAGATATGCATCTGGTCGGGTGCATTAACGTCTATTGTTTCCATTGCGCCCCCAAATGGATATGATACGAGGGTTAACAAAATGAGTTTTGAATCTCAGTTTTTATAGGAAACTATATTATTGAGTAGTTCAAACATCATCATTCATTATTCGAAAACCGTCAAGTTCAAGGACTAGTATAAGAGTAATACCAGCTGCAAATTCCGACCGTCATCTGATAACAAAATGATATACAGGGTGTTGTGAAATTCGACGGACAACTCTTGACAGGTGATAGCCCTCGTGATTTCATAATCACTGAGATAGGGACATACCGTTTTCAAGTGTTCAGTTCTCGAGATACAGGGCGTTGAAGTTAAGGAATAAAAATAATTGTTTCGCAATATCTCAAGAATAATTGAATATTATGCATTCAACTTCGGTATATGGTTTCATCTTTGGATGGGTCATTTTTTGACCAGGAAGCCATTCCGGACATTTTATCCAGTGGTGCCCATATTTTCTACGCCACTGATTAAATTTCAATTATTTCCAATTCCACGAATTCATCGTTCAGTTTTGTTAAAAAAAGTCATCACCTTCAACTGAGCTGAAATGAACAGTTTTCGAGATATTCGACACAAAATAGAAGATTGCATAGTAATATTTCATCATTTTCAGTACTAGAAAATTGCAAAAATATTTTCTGGTGTTGAGTAGATTAGATGCTATTCAGATATCATTCTGTAGCTGAACAGAAATAGTTATTTCACGCATAGAGACTACTACTGAGGAAGATGAAAAATTACTATGTAAACTTCTGTTTTGGGTCAAATATCTCGACAACTGTCCATTTTAGCTCAGTTGAAGGTAATGCATTTTTTCAACATATTTTTTTACAATCAATTCGAGAAATTGGAAATAATCGAAATTTCATCAGTGGGTAAAAAATATGGGAGGAAAAGTTATCACAATCCTCTGTAACGCACCTCTGGATAAAGTTGTCGGAATGTCTTTCTGGTCAAAAAAATTAATCATTGAAGGATGAAACCATATTGTTGTTCTAAAAAAATTGTTCTATCCGTCATTCGGTTGCCCCCTTACGAGCAACCCTCAGAAGTCTTCGAGAGTCTTGTGCGAGCAAGGAATGACGGGGGCCTTACCTTTTTAAGGTGTGATCCCAAACACTTTCTTGAGCCATCAGAAAAATTTCTGCAGTCGACGGGACTCGAACCAACGACCGGCAAGCGAATGCGGATTAGAATATGGACACTCTGTCCGCACGGCTACCTGGCTATCGAATTTAAATGCATTATATTCAATTTTTCTTGAGATATTGCGAAAAAACTATTTTAATTTCTCAACTTCAACGCCCTGTATCTCGAGAACTGAACACTTGATGACCTTATATCCCTATCCCAGTGATTATGAAATCACGACGGCTATCATCGCGTTGTCGATCGAATTTCGCAACCTGTATATTATTATTATTATTATTTATTATTATTATATCGTGTCCTAAAGCAATGTAAAATCATTAAAGTTTATCGAACGGCACCAGTACCAACCACTATATCCTGAGTAAAATGATTGAAAAATTGCACTTCCCTGTGCATTATTGGTACTTGATTTCGCGATTTGATGAGAAAAAGCGAATGAAAGGAAGACATTTCCCCTTTGCGAATACCCAAACGTGACGCGATTCAAACCGTCCTAAGTTATTAGCAGATCGTATCAGTATTTCCGAGAACACCTCGCGCTCGTTGAAAGATAATATCCGATGGACCAGTGTGGAACACATGTGGTGCTCGCACTACAAGTATTTTAATCGACATGTTGAGTTTTACACTGGTCCATCGGATATTATCTTCAGGCATTCGATCGAGTCTTGTACCACGGACTCCTCGCCAAGCTTTGATCTTATGGCTTGCCTCCCCAGCTATGTTCTCTGCTAGTTAGTTTTCTCTCAAACAACTATGTAGTGGTCGACGGAGTTTTTTCTGACTCTCTTATCATAAATGCTGGTGTTCCGCAAGGATCAATTCTAGTACCAATACTATTTCTACTCCATATCAACGATTTGTTGGAAGCAACTTCATGTCCAGTACACAGCTTCGTGGACGATAGTACCCTCCATACCGCCTTCTCTTTCAGGGCTCCAATACCAGTCAGGCAAATCAGAAACGAACGAGGAAGAAATGTTGACAACATAAATATGGACTTGGCAACAATTCTCGAATAGGGATCCAATAACTTGGTAGATTTCAATGCAAACAAAACACAAGCATGCCTTTTCTCTAGAAAAGCCGATCTCACTGTGCCTAACATAAGCTTGTCAGGAGTAACCATACCTTTGAAGACATCCATTTCGATGGTATTACTATCAGCAATAACCTTTCTCGGGGAAATCACGTGAGATCAATTGCTATGAGTTCTGTGGCCCCACTGTATTTGATGTCCTGGGGGGAGATGCAACCTTGTATGTCGTTTTGCCAGCAACAAAACTAACAATATAGTCGTGTGCCATTGTTTATTCGTCTTTTAGCATCGTAACGATAATTTAAAACGTTCGTGTGAGTGTAAGCCATAAGTGTGAATACAATGCGGCGTATCGTGGCTTTTATCCTGATAATATTATTCGTACCTGATGGAAATTATGTAAGTTGATGATAATGATTATGAAAGAATTTATGTCTAGATTTTATTTGATGGAATTCTCTTGCTTTTCACCTCTTTCAATATTGAACGGGACTTATTATTGAAAATCACCTTCTGGTTGTAGCATAGATGTTTTCTTCCGTTTAATATTACAAAATTATGACATTATTTTCATTGGATAAAATAAATGGGATATTCTCAAATATATTGATTTTCATTTTCTGGTTTGGAACTTGAAAACCAAATAAGCATTATTATGACAAAGGTGTTCGAATATTTTATCTATTCAGTAAATTTTTAGTGACTTTTTATCATTATTTATGGTTAATAATAGGCGGCATGACATTTTTCCGATTATATTTGTTGACTCACTTCTTTATATACCTACATATACTTATTAATTCTTGAATACGAAATGATTATAGTGACTGTTTCTTATCATACTGTGTATACCATCAGCAAAAAATATCAAAATTTATCAACAATATCATTGAAAAGAAGTTTGATTCGAGAAATATTATTTTGATGACCAACAGAAAACAATTACTTTGATGTTTATTTACAGGGTGCCTAAAAATAACGTTTTATATTTCTGGATTTGATACCATGAGTACCTATATAAAATACGAAAAACAGTTTCAGGAACAGAAAATCCTTGTTTTTGAATATTTATCGACATAAGAAACATGGAATTTTTTCTTATAACCTTCCTAGAGCATTAATTATTTCCAAAAATCCGCAAGTAAAAAAATATTCTCAGAATTTTGATCATAGCCCTAAGAAGATTCTTCACAAAATTTTCAATCCGAAATTATTTGAAAATAGAATTGAATTGTTCATAAACCCATGTGAGGGAAATCTGTCAATGGAAGGTAGATTTCCACTTATTAGTCTGACAGCAAGGTATTCATGGGTATATAGTGATTTTCGAAAAAAAAAATATAGGTTGTTATCAAAGCAACATGCCAAAATGCAAGCGTCTGATAAGCTGGAATATAAAATGATATACCGATTATGAGTTTAAAAAAAAAAACTAATTGAAAATATATACAGTGACAACGATATTACTGTTTCAGGCGAAAAACATATCAGTCTCAGTGTTCTACGAGAGTCTCTGCCCAGACAGTGTAGATTTTCTCAGTAATCAGTTTTATCCTGCATACATCTCGATCAAAGAAAAAATCCAGGTTGAGTTGGTACCATTCGGCAAGGCCACCGTAAGTAACAGACAAAAAAAAAAAGGTGACACAGTTGACTTTTCAACGATAATATCACGATGAAATTCAGAAAGAAGCGGTATTTTGCTGGACTATTTCACGGAGCATAAGAAGCATTTATTATAAATGAATAAGCCGCACATAAAGCCAAAGTGATTCATTATGATATCTACAGCTATAATTATTTAATGTGGAACTGTCATACTTTTTCCCTATTCACTATTCATTACATCGTTGAAAATGCCAACGCTGATAGACCAATCAGAATTGAAATACAGCTAGTCAGCTAGTGTTTTCGCGATAATTCTTTGGCTTGTGATTGGTCGGATTATATGAGGATTTCATGATGAGTGAAATAGTCAGTTGACTATTGGGATTTTTCAGGCAAACTGGGCGAACGGAACTTGGATTTTCTCTTGCCAACACGGCCCTAAGGAATGCTATGGAAATATGGTCCACAGCTGTGCTATAGATTTATCTCCTGGTGACAATAGCACGGAATTCGTTGTCTGCGCTATGAAATCCGGTGATGCTAGTCTTGATGGCAATTTGCAACAGGTATCTATACGGTTTTTGGAGTGTACCTAACTTTTGTTCATTCCAAATGAAAAGTAAAGCTTTGGAAAATTACGATTCAGTATAATATTAGGTGCTTACCTGAATTTCAGCTTTTGGCATCCCCCTCGTAACATAACATGAGAGATGTTATCAGGATAATAGCGAAGATGTGTCCATTGATTCCAGATCACACCCATTGTAGGAGTTCTGAATCAGCTTACACGTATCTTTTACATTATATTTCAATTTTATTCTTCATTTCCTATTTTATTCTTCAAAACCAATACTGTTATGAAAGGGTTAGGAAACACAAAATCGTCTCTACACGTTTAATAATCGGAAGATTATTTAGGGAAAATGTTTCAGACAGCCATGTGTCCATCATCAGCCTTAATCCTTACAAACCAAAGGTCCTATAATATGATACAAGTTAATCATGAAAAATATATAAAATAGAGAATTTACTCACGTGGGAATGAAAAAAACATTATGAAGAATTTTGAATAAAATTACTGTGCAAAGCTCCGGTTAAGGGTCAGGTTAATTATTGTAAAGGGATCCTGTGTCCCTATGAGGACGTATATACATAATCAAGATTTAATGGCAAAACCCATTTTTGGAAAAAACCGCAAAAACGGTGGAGTCAAATAATTACTCGAAAACAAACCTACTAGTGATTCACACGAGACCAACGAGACGAGATTTTCATAAAGTCTCGTCTCGTCTCGCCGATGAAATATGAAGTCTTGTCTCGAGTCTCGTCTTGTCTCGCGTATCGTACGAGAGTGTCGCAAATGTATGGCAATTTCGTCATGCACAATCTTATTCCAGTCTAGCACGGGATATTTACCTTCACCTACTTCTGAGGTATAATGTAGAAGTAGAAAATAACAACAAAAATAACATTTTTTATTGAAAAGTAAGTACCTAATAGGTACATACTCACATCACACGTCTGAACAAGAAAAAAAATATAGCATTATATATTCGAAAGTTATAAAAATAAAATGAAAAGTAACACGTATATTCTAAACAATCAAACAAATCAGAAACTTTAATCCAACATTATTCCGCCGTAAGAGAGAGAATAGTCCGTTTTCGTTTCACGCATTACGTAGTTTTACAACAATCATGGACTGTGTTTTTAAAGTATTTATGGATGAAATGTTTTGTCTATCTTTGCTGAATAGTCTGAATTCTGTCTAAATATGTTGTATCATGAATGAAATTCTCAAGTCTTCAGTCGCCACGCAGAAATATTTACCCGCGAGACTCTCGTACGAGACACGAGAAGTCTTGCACGGGACTCGAGACGAGACCAATAAAAGTCTCGTCTCGTCTCGAGTCTTGTCTCAAAAACGAGACGAGACCATGCGAGACTCTCGAATACGAGACTCTCGCGGGCACCACTAAAACCCACATCATCAGATGATGGAGGAAAAGTGACTTTCTTAGCAATCCACAAAACCCTTTCATCTCTACACTTCACTTAGAGAGAAGTATATGGGCTTCTACATGAGATCAATACTGTTATGATGGTCATCGAACATCAACTTTCAGACGATGGTTCATTGGAAAATCCTTTTTTTTTTATTTCTACACGGTAATTTCCCATGATATGACGCAATGCAATAAGTATATACATACATATCAAATTAGATACCTATAAAACAATGATTATTATTTTATTATATCACGCTCTAAATGCGTAACAAATTGTGGATTGATTAATTGGGGACCTCATTCATTATTTGACATTATTTATGAGGGATCATGGACAATGATTCATGTTCGTTTGTATAGTTTTGTATCACTAATTGTCATCGATTCGGATGATTGTAGTCTGCTAACTGCTAAATACTGTTATATTTTCAATCATTTTGAACGGAAAAATTGGATCATTGCTTGTTAGCTTCAGGATAAAAATATTCAAAGAACTCTGTTCGATCTTTTTCAAGAAGAAAACAATAAATTTAGAAGAATTTTTTTAAAAAATGGCGAAGGTTCATCGGATTATTTTTGAGGTGATGATGAACAGCAAGTAGGAACATATTGGTTTTGAAAAGGAACATTCTCAGATATATTCATGAACACAAAAAAATGGATATATATATAAAGATATACATTGAGAATTCGCATTCTCCATCAATCCATCTATCAATTCTTTCTCGGTTTATTCAACAGAAAACAACTACTTTCCTGGCTATCTGCCTGTCACTTTTGATGTCATTTGGAGAAAAAACTCATTTTAGACTTCACTAGACATAGGCAAAACAGCCCTTCTTCGAGAATTACGAAGTTTTCTCTTATACCATCTAAAAGAAAAATGAATTCATGACTCCAGGAAATATTAGTAATTCCAGAAATTTGATTTTAATGTCTTCAAAGATGAATTAGAAATGGTACGAAATGGCACACTTTTTTTTTTCGGTTGTATCGGTTTTGATGGTTTTAGTTATCGTTCAAATATTTTTGATATTATTTTTAGTGTGCCATCGACCACGGTGTTAATTGGACGGAGATCCAGAATTGTGTGAAATCTGGAAAAGGAAACGAACTTTTGGCAAAGAATGGGAACCGAACCGGGGAAGTCAAAGAGAAGGTCACTTTCATCCCCATGGTGGTTTTCGAGCACACATACAAGGAGGCTCTGCAAACGATTGCCCTCAGGAATTTCCTAGAAATATCGGAGTTTCTCATAAGTGAGAGCGAGTGCGAGAGATGCAAGCGGAGAGGGAAGAGTGGGGGTTCCCCTAAGCACTTTTCGTCGATTTTAGTGTTGTTAATTTCAGTGTTACCCATCAAAGTATTATTATAGGATTTTTTTCTAGTATTATAATCTCCATTCACAGCACATTATTCATGCTGTTTCGTTTTTTCTCAAGTTTGGCCAACCAAAACGAATTTATGGAAAAATTGACTCATTTTACAATAAATAATTTCTAGAAATATCATTTTTTATTTCAACCTCATGAAAAAAAAATTATTGTTGTCAAATTTAAAGTAATCTCGTAACTTGTTGAACAGACGATCAAGATATGTGAAGGGTAATTGTTTATATTTCACTCAATAGCTATCTCATTTAATATTGGTCTTGCAGAAAAGTTAATATGGACAAAATCAAGTATTTTTCATGGGCATTTAGGATCTAGTACTGAAAAATGCAAAAAAGCACCGTCAATCTAAACATTTTACATAAAGTGGCATTTTACAAATGGAACACCTTGTATTTTATTTTACTGAACGGTAGAGCTCTTTCTCCTGATTTCAAATATATCTATATACCGGGTGTAATAATTGATGTATCGTCCTAATATCGTGATAATAGGGACATGAAAACCGTTTTGGTCAATAATGAATAGTTTCGACAAAAAAAATTCCTGAAGTTGAAAAAGTCTCAATTTTTCACACCCTATATCTTTGTAATCATTTCAGCTAGACCCCAACTGTGATAGATCGATGAAATCAGCTCTCCAGGGAGAATCTTAAAATGCAATAAAATACAGGGTGTCCTATGGAAAAAAATATGAATGTTGCCCATAAGTATTTTTTGAGATGTTCAACTGTTTCTCTGTTGGCATATATGAAATCTACAGGAAGAAATATAACAGAACATTCAACAATACATGAAAAAGTTAAGTGGGGGTTCAAAATATACGTGAAGACCCTGTACCTTCATTGTAGAAAAAAAAATGCGACAATTATTCATCCTCATCCAGTATTGTATATAATTCCATATTTGACAACTCCAAATACATCATTTTCTCAAAAAAGTATGATCGTTGATGCACTCTTTAATTTTTTTTTCGATATTTGATTAAGACTTGTCTAGGAATGATTGGTGACAATATTTTGGTAAATAGAAATGAAATCGATAACACAATAAACGTTCAACATAGTTATTATCCAAACCAGCCCCATCCATTAGTTTGAGGTAATTTTCTGTCTTTGCAAATCTCCGGTTTGTTTCCTTCAATTTTGCTGCACACAACAGCAACGAAATCTTGCAACGACTGACTTTGGGCATCACTGTTGTATTTTTGGTCATAAACTATCGTAGGAACGAAGGATATCTGAGGATCCAATTGCCAAGTCAAATCACCGTTTCGAGCCAATAGTCTGTCACCTTCAGAGCTTTCAGAGCATGCCTTGATCTTTGCTGTGTTCAAATTCAGTAACTCAGCACACTGAAAAATAATTTTTCAATTCAATGAAGAAGTTTCCTATTGAGGCTTTTATCTCCCTGTGACGTTTGTAAAAAATTAATATAGACGTATTTTTTCTTATTTTCGTGAGATCAAATTTCAATTCAGAAAAAAATAAATAAAAGAGGAACTTGGCTCCTCCACCAATCTTATAACGTACTTTCTGAAAATCCACATTCACACAGAGTTAACATAAGATTCCCTGTGCCCGTAGGACGTTGCCAACATCATCAATATGTCTATATTTCCGGAAATTGTTCTTTGAATGCCTAATAACTATATCTAAACAGCAATGGGATATAATAGGTTCTTCAATCCTACTTTGTCAAATATTATGAATAATTTCCATAAATCTCTAAATGGCTGAATGAAGTTGATTACTAATAAAGATGAATTATGATATTTTGCTATAGTATCTATAATTTTTCACTATCATTATATTGCAATATGTTATCCATAACTTGTCAGTCATTTTTTTGACGGATCTTTTTTCTAGGAAAGTTGCAGATTATATCTTGCAACAGCGCCTAATACTTCGAGTCCGTCCACACCACTCAAAATACTGACACGCACAACAAGAGGAAGGAGCCATGGGCTTCGGCTTCATTCTGTTCTGACCGATGACAGTGAATTAGGAGGGATATTATCATTGAATGTAGCCGAAAGTGATTCATTGATTCAATGATATTTTCGTTCAGGATCGAGCTCTAATCGAGATATTTCAATGCATGAATAACAAAACCATAACCTGTCAGAATGAAGCCAACTACCCTCTGCATTCCTGCTCCGAGTGCATTTGTGGGTATGTATGTTTTTAATTACCAGTTTCACTTCTTCTTCTATTTTTTTCATTCGTTTTTCATTCGTTAGCTATTCGTTAGCTATTCGCCTATTCGCTAGCTATATTCGTCACCATCAGCTATTTTCAGACTAGATTCAGAATGTATACGTCGCAGTTTGCGCCCCAATGAGAACGACTTGGACTTTATCGGTCGCCATTCTGTACAGCGTGGACATAAAACTGGAGAGTTCCGAATTTATTTTATGAAAATTCATCTAAAGGAAACTTCCCCATAGCAGTTTTCAAAAATATATATAGTCATATTCAAGCTAGGAAAATAAAATGTAAAAACGACAGAATCATTGTACTTACAGACTGGACGTTATTGAAATCAGCTGCAGATCTTTTTCTCATTATGCAGTCCACAAACAATACGTTTTTTTGTTGTCCATAATTTAGGGCTAATACACACGATTGATATTTGTTGGCAAGACATTCTGACGGACCGTGTTGACAGGAGAACTTGTATTCGCCATTTAATTCCTTATGCTGAAATAACCAAAGATATCGGGATGTTCGAAATCTTCCAAATGTGTGACTGTTACCAACAATAAATATTACATTTAGTTAATTTCACTGATCTTCAAATATCCCAGTGAATTTACATATTTTTTTAAATTAGTATTTCTTCATTTTCATCATATCTCCATATCTTACCAATGCTTTTCCATATGGCACTAACTCAATATTTACATATTTTTCTATTTATATAAAGTTTGGACGCAATTGTCTGGTTATAAAATTGATACTATCACCACAGAGTGCCTCGTAATATATGGTCACGTTGATAGCTTGCTAAAAAAAAATACATAAATGGCACTTAGTTATTCCTCCAAACAGTCGTATATTTTGTTGACCCTGTATACTTACCACACATTCGATGACCACGAAGAACGCGATGCAAAAAGTTACCAGTACTCTCATTGTGAATGACTAACGCGAGAGAACTTTGAAATTTAATGGCAATTAGCATTAGCCTTTATTTAGTGTTTTCGAGATTGCCTAATCTGAGGGTCGTGTTTTCTTCTTAATTCAACATTCAACAATAACAATTCAACAATAACAAATACCAGAGTGAGGCTGATAAGATACCAGTGGCGGTACGTGCGAAAGAATTGGTACCCAAAGATGATGTCTCAACAGTTTACCTGGAATAATTTCTTTTTCAGGTCTATCCAGGAAGAATACATCAGAATATTCCTTCGATTATTTTCTTCGTATGATTTTAAACCAATCAGTACGTTCAATTGAGCTACCTTGTATAACTTCGAATATTCGTGGAAGTGGGTCACACTGTATACATAGAGTAGTTCCATCAATAGGAAATTCAGAATTATTTCCATTTCCATAGTATCCAATTCATATTGTTTCATTTCATTTTCATGGTTAAGCCATATCCGAATCTAGTCGATAACTGAATTTTCAGATTCAGCATCGGAAAAAACAAATGGATCGTTGGGAAAATTTCTTTAGTAATTTTTTTCTGTCCAAACTACCAAATGATTCGACTAATACTGTGGATTTCAATAATCTCTAGAAAAATTCACAAGGGTTACTGGAAGAACCAGATTCTGGTAGGTTGAAATACTCTCAAATCATATAGATATATTTTTTTTCTCAAACAGAATATAATTTTCGACATCATTTCAACAAAATCACAACTCCACAACTTCTATTTCTGCATTTTGGCATGCTTCCGGCACCTGATTCAGCAGCTCGCACACCACGCTCAGCAGATCCCTCAGCGATCTATCCTGATTGGTCTGATCGAAGTGATCGTTGAAAATTATTGTGGGGACGAACTTCAAAGGGGGAGTGATCGCGGATGTTCTTTCGCCGTTTTTGATCAGAAGGGCGTCAGCTCGACCACTCTCGTAGCAACTTTGAAGGGCCTTCCACGAGATGCCGCTAGAGTTGCTGCACTAAAAACAGTACGATAAACTCGTTATGGAAGACAATGACTGTCCTAAGGTGAATTTCTAGCGGGTGACCAGATGTTGAAAATGAAAAAAAGTACATTTAGTTAGTTTTCAATCATTCAAGGTCAAACGCCAAATTGAAAATGGGATTTTTTCCTACTTCTGGAACAACTGCCTATTTTTACCAATATCATGAGTCAAAAAATTGAAATAAAAAGACATATTTATTGATTTTAGTAACTAAACAGGCACAAATCAGGTACACTTTCATACATACGATTTGGTGAATCCATGCATGCTCAACTCAATAAATTAGTCGTGATATTATTGGTTGATTTCAGATAACATTTCTTAATCCACCAATCGCCTTCTCTACTTCATGAGTTAGAACTGAGTGAAGTCGTGTATGTCACCATATTGAAAGAACCATGCACAGAACATAGCTGATATCGGTTCACTAGTGATGAAAAAAAAAAATATTTTCTGATCTTTTTTTCAGTTTGTTCATATTCCTTATTTTCCTAATATCAAATTTCGACTATGAAACTTCTAAACGGGACTTCAAGAATGAAGACATTTACCTCCCAAATGAAAAAAGATAGACTTCGTGGACAGCTGCCTCGAATAAGAGTAGTTGTACTATTTAAAAAGATTGCGTCTGGTATTTATACAGTTTGTGAATTTTCATTGCATGCAATTGATTGGTGCAACTTATATTTCTGGCAATAACGATTAAGGCTATACTGAATCAGAATGGCCAGCTTGCAATGTCGTTTTGTCAAAAAATCAGTGTTCTGCTTCTCGTCAAGTTTTATAGCTGGGTAGAAAGAAACCATGGAAACAGTAACATTCAATTTGCATCTAATGATCCATAAATATTTCATGAAATACTGAGAATCCACCAATTCATCACTAGAATTGCACCGTTGCAATACGAATTACTGCAATGAAATAGGTCTGGACTCAAATATTTCCTGCAATGAGAAGAAACATTGCGATAGCTGTCCAAAATTACACTAGGCACAATGAAAATTGTTATAATTTTTGAATAATTGAAAACTATTGCGGCTCTTATAATTCAAAATTCTTGTTAATTTTCTTGTTGATGTTATTTTCACAATTATTTTCTTCCGATAAGATAATATATGAAAAATGTATATCTGTCGTTTTTCTCAGGGGGGGAGGGAATGATTACCCCCTTTACCACCACTTAGAACTTAAAAGAACTTCATTTTCATCAGTGCCGTGCGTTTTCATTGAAATGATAAAGGACACATTTTTTTTAGAAATCATAATATTAGGAATTTTTTTACAGTAGAACTGACCACATAATATTGTTTTTCATGGTTTCAAACCCCCATATGTACATTTCCATATGATTTCTATAGAGATTTTCAAAAAAAAAACAGCCACATCCAATAAACAGCATATTTGCAAACCTAAATTCTCAATTACTCGGAAACGGTCAGTTCATCAAGACAAAATTTATCTTATTTTTCCTTCCAATCCTGTAAATTCGGAATAAAGTGATTTTTTGCATGAGAACCAATAATATAACGTTGGTTTTTCTGCAGAAGAATTCCTAATATGATTTCATCAAAAATCCACTCCTATTTATTTCAATGTAAACGCACGTCACTGTCCAAAATGATACACGTCTCTGAAAAATTGATCATATTGATGGTTATTTGTACCGATCCAAATTTAGTTCGAATCGCACTAATACGTGGGGGTCATTTAAAGTCTGTATACCAGGGTATTCCAAAATTGAATAGAGAGATTTCAAACACAGATTCAAGGAAAGAAAATAGTAGGATAAGTTCATATAAGCATGGGTCCAGAAATAGTGCCCTGGGAGGTTATAGCCATCTGAAGGCGAGCCTGAGATCACAGTTCTGAGATGAAGTTTTTTTGTAAATATTTTCCAAACCCTATGTGATGAAATATCAAAATTTTGTACATCATGTTCCTGACTTTTTATGACCAATTTGAAAATGTTTAGAATTTTTCGAAATTTCGATCAGGGGCTTGAGAAATAGGTGGGGCTAGGGGCAATTTTCCCCCAACTTCTTTGTTTATACATTTTTTTGCAGTTTGACCAGCAAGTATAAAAATATCATCATTTTTTATTAAAAATAGTATTGGGTATGAAGAGTAAGGAACATGTAAGAAATGTTGGCTATTCTATAACAGAAGTTTCCGAAAATATTTATGAAATACCTTCTTCTTGGGCTCACCTTCAGATGGTTATAACGTCCCAGGGGGCCATTTCTGGACCCATGTTCACATCAACTTTTTTTTTGTATTTTTATTCCTATAATTTGTGGTCAACATTTTTTTATGTAATTTCGGGACACCCTGCATAACAAAACCAACTTTTATCCATGTAGAATACTGTGAGATATGCATAATTTGAAATAAGTTTCTATTTCACATAATACGAGATCAATTGACTTAGTCAATTTCCCGAGATGGTCAAAAAGAGAGCTGAAAATCCCTAATAATTTCAAAGATGGGTAAACATTGTGTCTAATAGCTTCAGAACACATTGAGTTTTACCTAAATCTCAAGGAAGCTCACAATTATGCAAGAAACGAAGAAAATTCAAAGCACTGAAAATATGGTCACTAGGGTACTAAAATATTGGGTTTGAACTCAGTATCTTCCTGTATATACACTGCCATGGTTCGACAAATATTTCATTTTACTAATCTCTGAAATATTCTCCGATGAAACTTCCATTATTGCTTGGAAATCATCTTTATGAATACACTTACCCTTTCCAAGGTTTCGTCTGAAGCAGGAGATTCTTCAGTAGAACTCAATGAACAATATACAAATTCTGTGCTTTCTTCCACTGAATTTTGACTAATGGCACATGCATGGAACTTGTTTCCATAGCATTCTTGAGGACCGTGCTGACATGTGAATACTAATTTTCCTGATTCGTTGCTAGACTAAAAAAATAATGAGAAATGAAAAAAAATTAATGTTGATTTACATTGCTCAAGAGTTTATAATTACGCTTGCTTTTCCGTATGGGACGAGATCAACTTGTAGAGCATTTCCAAGGAGTTTGTATACAGGGAAAAGTTGGTTTTTGACAAATCTGATACTATCCCCGCATAGAGATTCATAATACACAGATACTTTGAGTCGTTCTGCCTACAAAATAAATGGATTACGTTAGTTGCATAAAGCAACAGCACACACCTAGAATACATTATTTGTGTATTCTCAGAACGTGATGAATATTGAAACTGATATCCTATGATTTCCTGTTTCCTTCTTAAAACTTATAGGGTTATTATTGGAATTTCATAATATCCCAACTGGTTCGGAACAATCTATACAGGTTGGTTCATAACTATCGTGAAATAGGCTGAGGGCAGATTGTTTGGACGAAAATATGGCGATAGGAAAAAAAATACAGGGCGTTGAACTTATTTTTTCGTGTTTCTGCTAATAATGTCACCGTATATTTATCAATTGTTATCAAAATCGGCACGAAGGCATAATTTTATACAGGGAATATTATTTAGTGTATTATTCCACAGTGTGTTACAGGGGGCGCCACGTGAATGGTTCCTGGTGATGAATCCGACAGGTAACTTTTTTTGATGAAACTTTTCAGTGATTTTGATTAGAAAATATGACATGAACATTATTCTTACGTATGCTATTATTACAGATGTTCAAATACGATATTTTCATCTGATTTCTAGAAAAACACAATTAAACAGTTCAAAGTCTCGGAAGGATATTTCAAGTATTAATTAATCAATGAAGAGTGTGCTTGGGACTCAGATAATTGTTGCTGGTAAATGACAACTTCTTGTCAGTGAATAAATTTTGGTGAGAGTTTGTAGTGAATACGTTTACGATTGAAACGCCCTGTATCTTTTTCCATAGCAATATTTTATTAAAGTGAAGATCTGTACTAGCTGCATACACGTAACTGATCAATAAAATGAAGAGATTTTGTATTTCGGGTAAAATTTATTATAATATCGAAAAGCGCTTTCGGCAAAAAAATCATCATCAGTGCTATGCTCGACAAGTATTTACAAAAAGGTCCAAAATTTAGTGATCGACAACATCAGTATGGTACAGACGAAATTAGGAACAGACATATATTTAACAAAAAAGTTCCCTAATGGGTTATTATGGAATTTTTCAAAAATACATGTTAAAATTGTTTAGTTCACTCACTAGTTCAGGTCCAGGAAGAGCACAAGGGACCTTATTAACCTAGTCTGACCTGATCTGAACTAAACAATTTCAACATGTATTTTTGAAAAATTCTACAATAATCCATTACTTTACAACTTTTTTGTTAAATGTATGTCTGTTCCTGATTCCGTTTGTACAGGGTGATTCACCATAAATGCCCCCCCCCCTCTAGCTCACTCATTTTTCAACCGATTTAAAATTTTTAAAAATAATCTAAAATGATTTTCAGGAATTTTATTCCTGTTGCATCAGAAAATACAGGGTGCTCGGAACAAACGATCTACAGAATACTACTTGATTTTTTCAAATGGAACACTCTGTATTTCATCATATTTTTAGATTCTTCCTGAAGAGCTGATTTCATCAATACATCACACTTGGGGTCTAGCAAGAATGATTACAGAGATATAGGGTGTTCAAAATCGATATTTTTCAACGTTAGGATCTTTTTTGTGTCGAAACTATCCATTATTGGTCAAAACGGCTTCTATGTCCCTATCTCATCTCTTGATTTACCATCTACTGACATTTAATTGAAACATTTACAGGGTGGTTCAAGATTCAGAATTCTGATCACCCTGATGTATCTGTTCCAATTATTAAATGTCAGTAGACATTAAATCAAAAGTTGAGATACGGACATGAAAGCCGTTTTGACCGATAATGAATAGTTTCGTCACAAAAAAATCCGAAAGTTGAAAAACCTCGAATTTGAAAACCCTATATCTATGTAATCATTCCCGTTAGATCCCATTTATCAAATCAGCTCTTCAGGGAGAATCTAAAAATACAATGAGAAATAGGGTGTTTCATTTAAAAAAATTAAATAGTACCCTATAGATCGTTTGTTCCGAACACCCTGTATTTTCTAATGTAGCGGAAAAAAAAAGTTATCGAAAATCATTTGAGATGATATTTCAAATTTTGAAATCGGTTCAAAAATAACTGCGCTAGGGGGGGGGGCATTTATAGTGAATCACCCTGTACCATAATTATGTCATGGATCACAAAATTTTGGAACTTTTTGTAAATACTTGTCGAGTATAGCACTGACGATGATGGCTTTTTAGCCGAAAGCGCTTTGCGATTTTATAGTAAATTTTACACGAAATACAAAATCTCTTCATTTTATATTTTATTAGGGCATATTCGGACCTTTTGCCATGTTGTTTTGGTCCAAACTATCCGCCCTTAGCTTATGTCCCAATAGTTATGACTCACCCTGTATTTTCACTAAGTTCTTGATATTATATTCATTTGTATCAATGAAGTAATTATGATCTAACATAGGTGGTGTATACTTACCTGGGAAGCACATGCTAGTACTAAGAAAAAACCCAAAACTTTCCACATATTTTCACGATGGCGAATTTCCGAATATAAATAACGAAAATGCACTTGGTAGTCTATTTTCGAAGTAATGAAAGGAATATATTGGTAGGTGGATATTTATTGTGTTCAATGTCTGGTCTGGAGAGATGATATTACATTATTCATTGTTTATCTCGCACATGGTAGATTAAAAAGCATATGATAAAGTCAGACATCAGGATTTACTAATACCTACTTCAACTATTCAATTTTGATGATTTCAAGTATGTACATCGAATTTTGTTCACGGTATATTTAGAAAAGTGTTAGGTCATCAATAGTTTTGTCTAGGATCTGTGGTAAATACCTTATTCCCCTAATCAGTTAAGCTTCTGATCATTGTAAAAACCAAAGAATAATCTTGATTGAGATCATAGATGTTGAGATATTGAGATGAGTAGCATTTACTCGATAATTTGGGCTGATATATTTTGAGCTCTTGTCATCATGCGGGCGGCGAAATAATTATATTTGGATTTGTGACAAATAATACAACAACACCATATAACAAGTTTTATTCATTACAAAGTGATGGAAATAAAAAAACGATAATTAAGTATACAGGGTGTTTCAGACTCAAATGTACATACGATACTTGCAGATCGAGTACACTTTGATGGTTTCGAAACACCTATCGTTGATGTGTCTACCGTCTTTTATGACTGAGATACAGGACGTTATCTTGATTTTGGCGAAATCTTCATCTGGTCAAAATTATTCTTGAACCACTTTGTATAATCTATTCATACTTCTCATCGAAACTAAATAAAAATACAGATCAGAATCCAGGTCCGTCTTGAGGAAAAACAGAAAATATGTTTTATTTCAAAAACAACACTCTGTATGGGAAAATTTTGTGAATCTGTTTTGATATTTGGGAAGAGCGGGAAAAAATAATAAAGTGAAATACTTTTCACGAGCGCGCATCCCATTTGACATTTTATTATGTTTTGAAGTACATATATATTCAGCTCTGATTGATATTCATTTCGTTTAGATGGGTAGTATAGGTGAAATATTCCTACCTCATATGGATACATTATACGAAGTCGTTCAAAAAGTATGACCAGATGAAGATTTTGACAAAATTAAGAAAACGTCCTGTATCTTAGTTATAAAAGACGGTAGACACATCCGAGGGGGTGATCTGGAACAATCAAAGTGTCCTCTATCTATAGGTAGCGTATGTACATTGAAATCTGAAACACCCTGTATATCAATAAAATAAGAACCTATAATGAAATTTTATGTACAAATAAATGGATATCGGATATAATAACAATAATATAGTAAGTGTATAAATATTGAGAGGAAGCGATTTGCATAGTGTTTAGTTATATTCAATAACTTATATAACCGTTTCAAACAACAGATGATTTGATCACCAACAATATAGGTATAATTTATCAAATAGTTACTACCTATTTTCATAAAGTTATTGTATCATATAATGTGGCCAACTTTTGAGACCAAAAGCACCATTTAAAAAATTCATATTCAACGATTGCATTTTTTTTATATTTCGAATTTCAGGCTATGCTTTGATTTTTCGTCATATCAAAATCAATAACGACTCAATAATTTGCAATGTTACGCAGTTAAATAATTGTTCCTGATGAACTACTCTTCATAATATTACGGGTTTATCTCATTTGAAGGATTTGAGTGTAGTATTTATAAAATTTCGCACAAAATTCTGAAAATTCGAATCACATTTTATGAAAAACTACTGTAACATAGACTATTTGATACCACTTCAATATTCGGGCCTTCTGCTGAAAATTTTCGAAGTCGTCTATAGAGATTATAGAATATATAGGGTGTTTCAGAGTTGTGGTGAAAAAAGTCTGGGGGATATTCCTCTCATCAAAATATGAAAAAAAGTTCATATGAAAAAGGGTCCAAAAATACTTCGTTTCCGAGATATAGCGGGTGTCCAAGTTTAAAAAAAATTGTTTTTTATTGATATCTTGAAAATAAATTTATCACAAAATTGAATAACGTATAGATACATTTTAGAGAGGGTATCGAATTTGATGTTTTTTTGTTCTTCTCATTGATAACAATGTGCGCAATGCATTTTTGGATAATATCTCTACCTAAGCATTTTTATTGTTCCTTATATGGAGTTCAGAGATATGTCGAGGTATGGTATTGCCCTTTTTTCTCGAAAACGAAACAATATACGAAAAAATAGCGAGAGACGGAAAAATTTTTAGTGGGTTCATTCGAATATTCGAGAAGAAACCGGATAAAAATACATGGTGAATTTCTTTCCTACAAAAATAGCCGACTTGCTCGATGGTTACTCCCCTGGAAATTCTGGACTAAATCTAATTGGTCCAGTGAATGTCTGATAATTCTGTAAATAGACCATACAGATTTCATTCAAATCGGCTAATGCGTTTTCAAGATATTAGTGAAAAACTATTTTTTTTTCAAACTTGGACACACAATATATTTCTCGGAAACGAAGCATTATTATAAACCCATTTTCATACGAACTTTATTCTTTCATATTCTATTGGGAGGAATCTTTACTAGGCTTTTGTCACCACATCTCTGAAACACCCTGTATAGATTTTATGAAGGTGTACCGGTTTTGGGAACTCCAAGTATACAACACTTTTATCATGATAGAAATATCATAATACGATTTTTCACCTATCTACATTTTATATATAATCAGCCAAAGTGGCTGCAATAAGTATTAGTGTTTTACTGAGCGGTTGCATAGTGCAATATTTTTCCTTTTATTGCAATCAAAAATACTGTTAATTCATTTCGAAATGTAGATTATTCATTTCAAAATTTTTAATATCAATATTTTCGATCATTTTTGGTGACGTTTAAAAAATGGGAACGTGTGAAGCAGGCAGTTGAGCAATTTTGTTCATTGGTATCAAACTGAGGATTTGATCAACGGGTACTCTAGTATCGTACAGGGAAGGTGCTTGAAAAATAATGCCACACGTTCCTCCGATACACGCTATCGTGAAAACCCACAGGAAAAATCTGTCGAGCACCATAGACACGAATTTCCAGTCCTCCACAATCTGGAACACAAACAGATATAAAAGTATTTACATACGGAACCTTCGATCATACAATCAAATCGACTACCTACCTAATTATCGAAATTTCAACCACAGTTCAAGAAAATACTCATTCCTTAAACTGTGTTTCAACCTACGGAATTAATAGATATCCACAGATCGACAATATTTTGTTAACAATTATTATGTAATTTGTCAATTGCTATTGGAAACGGAACATTCAAGCCTTCGATAGCTCAGTTGGTAGAGCGGTGGACTGTAGAGGAATAAGTAATGTAGACATCCATAGGTCGCTGGTTCAAATCCGGCTCGAAGGAAACTTTTTTCATTTTTTTAGGTCGCTGGTTCAAATCCGGCACAGAGGAAACTTTTTTCATTATTTCAAACTCTTCTCAATTTAGGGTAATTTTTTGATTATTTTAACTAGATACACAAATCTTTGTTGCTATAGAAATCTCACGAGTGGACGGAGTCTCAAAAAATAACCACCACGAATAGTAAAAACGTCACAAACAATAAGATTTCAACGAAATTCTTAATCAGTAATCACACGACATGTTTCGCTAACACAGTAGCTTCTTCAGGTGGAATACTGGTAAAATTAACTAATTTTACATTGGCTTGCTTTTTTATTCAACTTTCCCAATAACCTGAAGGATTAGATTGATTAGATTCCGTGGAAACTTTATCGTTTGTGAAGTTTTTTTACATTTACTATGGATTTCCATCAAGCAGAGATCATCAAGTAAAGGCTGAGTCAAATGAAAAAAAAAACATCACGAATTTAATTCGGCGTGATTATTTTTTGAACTATTGCACAAAATGCCCAGCGAAAACGAACTTTTTACAGACATATACTATATACTTCGGTTTTGCGTCATTTTTGTTCGAACAGAATGATTCGTCAAACAAAACAGCCTATACCAACATCGCAGGCTATGGGCCCCTGTATGTATCCATTCAAACGAAGATACCGATAACATTAAAAACATATATAAGGATACGATTATGCTAAGTGAAATACCGACTTTAGTTACTCAAAACATTAATAAGGCCGCTGGTGGTAGTTCAAACTATCATTCTTGGCTAACTTTGATGGTGGAAATATATCTTTCATAGAAGGAACCTATGAACTCATAGGATGAAATCGACACAATCTGAAAATGATTGTGAATGTCATTTTACCTATAAACGTCAAAAGGATACAAAATACAGTATAATACCAAATTATTATTGACTATAATTACGCATTGATGTTGGTTGAAACAACAAAATGTCACATTTTGACATATGAAAATAATAATATCACGAATATTCGAGATAATTCTGTTGTTTTATTGTTCACGAAATTGTGTTCCGGATCAATGTTTATATAGGTAATCAAAATAATAAATGAGTGTCAAAATAGTGTCCAGTAGGTTATGAAATGTTTCGGTAGAACAGTATAGATCAATATGCAAATCAGGAGATCTACTGAAAATTCAGTTGAACTGGCAACCCTGCAGTAAAAAGAGTTTGCGGACGAAAAGTTAGTGTTTGCGGACGAAAAGTTAATGTCTGCGGAGGGAAAGTACTTGCCTTCGGAAATATTCGGATTATCGTTCGGAAATCAGAACTTAAAATGGGATATTTTGTAGAGGTCGACGAGAAGAAATGCATTTATTATAAATGAGCGAATCATTCTGACAACTAGAGCTGTCAACCCGTAGATCATTTTATGCCAAACTGACAGACTTTGAATCGCTATCCATGGTTACATGGCTAAAAACACCAACCCTGATAGACCAATCAGGATTGGAGGACAATTGTGTTTTGGCAATAGCAAAAGTCTCTAGAGTGAAAAAAAGATACATACCTCATTGTCTTTATCTGCATCTCTGATATGTTGAGCTATAAATCGGACTCCTTGAAAAGCAGCTAACACATTAGCAGATAGAACTCTCGGAGTAATATTCGATGAACCAGTCACTAACATAAAAAAGATATAACTACATGTTCAAAAGAAATATTTTCAGAATTTTGTGTAAATCTCATAGCTTGAGAAATATTTTTCAATTACTATTTATTTTCCCTATCAACCATAGCTTGTTTTTACTTCAAATACTCACTAGAAGAATGTGCCTTCATTTTTCCATCATCCTGTTCAATATTTTGCAGCACAAAACTAGGTTCCCGAGTTGTGATTTTGAAATCAGTAGTAAACGGTTCTGCCATGTTCAACCTTGAAACAAAGCTGATTTTTTTTCGGAAGGAATCATTAGTTGAGTAATATCAAAAACTCAATATCTGTTGACTTTTATAATATCACTTCGACAATATTAATGATATATATTCTTGGCAATGAGCTCGAAATCTATTTGAATTTTGAGATATTAAGGGATTTATTTGGTACTCACTGCATGTCCAAATCACTAGTATAACCCCTAGGGGGTTGAGAATCATCATATTCGGGTAAGGAATAGGTGGTTCGCCTCATGATCAATAGTTTTGGCATAAAATGCAGAAAAATCTTCCTGAAAGTCGGAGACATTTTATGCGTAGACGGAGACCTGAAAACGAAAACCTTCACTCACTTTTTGAACACATTTCTGTGGCAAATTCGATATCACAAGCTCAAGTTAGAGTATCAATTATAGTGACTGAAACACGAAATATATTGTACAAACATGTCAGAGCATGAGCACAAGATTTGAAGAACATATTGCCAACAAAGTGTGTAAAATAGCAAACAGCTGATTTTAAGACGAAGGCGATCTAGGATTCTTCAAGGCATTCGAAATATTCCTAACCATGAATTATTTCTTGCCTTGAAGGATACCCCTATATCGATCATCAAAGAACCCCTCACATATTTTCATTTCTATACTAATTACCCATAATTTCACTGTCCAGATATTTCACTAGACGATTTGATACCAGGTTTGCGTGTTATAAAAAAAACAAAGAACAATCTATCTTGGCGTGTGAATAATAATTTCCAATCCATCATCAGACCAGCGCGATCTCGAATCAAAAAGGAATCGGTAAATAATTATCAGTCTATATTCGTTTAATGGCGTTTTAATAACAGGGTATAGCACATTTCGACACGGTATATCAAGTGGATCGAAAATGACACCCCACTATTAATCGGAATCGTCAATCATTACTATAATCATTTTTTATTAGTAGTTGGTTTATCGAAAGGGTTAATTTACTTGATGAGTAGTTTTTTTGGTATTTCGGTCACTTTGAATGAATTGATGCACAAAATGATTACTGATCAGTCAGATACCATCAACCCGGTTTTCCGAAAAGGCTTACCCTGATGAACTTTTCTAAGTTCCTTAATTCAGGAGCATTATTTTTTAATTGAGTTACTAAAATGTCAATATTTTATAATTTTTGTTTGATTTTGGTTCGTTTCTCAGATATTCATGTCTGTACTTTGTTTTCATCCTCAACTAATTTTGAAAAATTATGCTATTAGTTGTGCAATAATATGATTATTGATCAGACCGGTTTAAATAACCATCAATATGATCAGTTTTTCAGAGACGAACATCCTTTCCGACAGTGCCGTGATTTTTTAATGAAATAAAGAGGGGTAGATTTTTATGAAATCACATTAGAAATATTTTTACAAGGAAGCCAACTTCATATTATTGTTCCTCATGCTTCGAAACCTCCATATGCAAAACTCACCTCATTATGAATTATCAGGATTGGCTCAATTTTTTTCATGCCTCTAAAAAATAGTGGATTCAAATAACTGCAAATTTTGGAACATTCAATGGCTCCGTGAGAAACAATCCTTATATAATTTCATATACTATTCACTATAAAGGAAAACTCAATGTTGATGGGTATTTTTTGCATATTGATTAAATTGTGTTTTTATAATCATACATATTATTCCATCGAATAATAAACAATTGCTCAATTATCATTTTTGGTTTCGTATAACTAAAAATGCATTTAGAACAGCAATTCAATTATGTGAGAGGTACTCCAATTATGAAAGAGGTACTTCGCACTGAATAATGTGTTCGACAAAGACCAATTAATACCAGAAATGCTGTGTTAAATAAAGATAAGTATCTCCACACCTTTTACAAACATTTTTTTCAATGAAGTCAACATGTTAAGTAATGTTTCTATAGTCCATCATATCAAGGAGATCTAAAACTATAAAAAAAAAAAATCTAAGTTCGCAATTGAAAAATGGAGTTGGAAGCTCGAAGAAGAATCATCGAATTTTCAATTTGACAATTCCATTTTGTAGACAGAAAAGTGGCAAGAAGGAAGATACCTTTATTTTGAAATATCTCTCTGAATAAACTGAGTGATAAATAAAAGCGATTTTGCCTATTTTGCTTAATTTCCGGAAATCTCCGGAAATAATTGATATTTTCCCAATTTCAAACCAGCATTTTGTTGAGTATGAAATGGTGCACATTTGCCCTGATTTAACCTACTCTGTATCTCTTGAGGATACCGAGATTCCCATGCTTAGCCACGAATTTGTAACACCCTGTATATTCCGATACTTCTCATAATTTTTTTTCAAGAGTGAAGCAAGAAGATAACAGTCCATAAAGTCTCGGTTATGTCATAAAACAGGTCATAAGGTGGATTAGAAGTATGATTTTGATATACCTATCGTTGAAAAAATCGTAATTTCATAAGAAATAGTAATTTTTCCTGTCTAGTCCGTAAATTACTATTACGTAACAAGTCTGAAAAATACTGTTTTTTGGACGAGTAGGCAAAATTTTAGGCCGAGCCGTAGGCGAGTCCTGGAAGTCTGCGAGTCCAAAAAAACTGTTTTTGGACGTGTCGCGTACACTATTTTTTCATATTATATTTCTTTGTAGAATACAATTATTCCTTCTTTATTAATTTTCATTTGTATCAAATACTGAAATTTGAACAGAATACCTATTCCTACTAACTGTTACAGTGGAAATTTCGTATGGGCATTTTCAAACTCACTATCGCAGCTGCTTTCGATAGTTTATCGCGATAATCGCAACCAAACTTTGAAAAATCAAAATGTCAACTAATTTCATGCCAAAGAGCTGTCAGCCGATATTTCGCTGCTATGGTAATCACCATCTGCATTTATCAAAACCATATCTACCAAAATTTTCATAGTTACAGTGATAACAACGGAAAGTACGTACTTCCCGGATAGGCCAAAAAAATGACACTTTCTCAAAGAAAAATCCACTTCCCGGACGGTTGCCAAAAAACGTGATTTTCCAAAAAAATAGTTGCTCTGAAATACCAATATAAAGATTTGGGAAATCCAAACCGAGTAAAAACTGAGATACAGGGAGGTAAAATAGGGATGAGCCGTTGGTACCGTACCGGGTGGTACTTTACATCCGATATCACCTCACCTGAAATGAACATTGAGCACACAGACGGTCACCCAGATGGATGACGTCACCAGGATCATCGTGAACAACAGGTACTTCCCCAGCAGGGGTACCGCTAGCGAAGTGGGGGGGATGATTTCTGCCAGCAGCAGGAAGAATACGGTGAGCGACAGCAGGATGGAGACGCACAGGGTGACTTTCTCCCCCGAATCGGAGGGTAGGTAGAACACCAGCACCGTGAGGAAGGTGATGCCCACGCAAGGGATGATCAGGTTCACTGTGTAGAAGAGGGTTTTGCGACGCATGGTTATTTTGAACGTTATGTCTAGAAAAAAATACCTTCTGTAATTTCATGTATTTTTTGTGTGTGATTATTTTACTTTAAAAGATATTAACGCACTATCAATAAGTATATATAGTCAAAAGTTTAGACAACATTTTCGTCAAAACTACTTTTTTTGTTTGTCTTTTGTTTTGAATGACATGTTATTTCTTTCTGAACAGTCATATTATTTCATTATATGTGTAATTGGACAAATCAGATGATTTGCCCCAAAATGTCACTACAGGATGTTTTGGAAATAATTTTTTCCCCATGAACACGTGTTCGCGAACGCTTCGTTACCGATCTACAGAGAGTTGAAATTTCAAGAATTTTTCTTTATAGCTCTTCTTGTTTTTATAATATTCAGATTAAATTTGGTACAAAGGCTACTTTTTAGGGTTCACATTATACAGTACGTAAAATGATTGTGAGATTCTACAAAAAGATATTCTTTCAGGGGTCAAGGCCTTTTTCGATTTATAAATTCTTTTTGTGGTGCACCACTGGTAGATATCAAAATACGAAATGATTTCTTTGTTTTAATTGTGAACTTTTTTGTCATTTGTTATTTTTACGCATCGAGAAAAAAGAATCATTTTTCGTAATTTGTTCGATTTAATTAATATTTTTAACAAATAAAGGGAGGAACCTATCATCACAATTAAAACAAAAAACGCTACATATTCAGTTTGGGATCTTAATCACACGTTTACAGACATAACTTAAAGAATAAGAAACCGAAATAACCTTTTATAAAAGATGTTGAAAAATAAGAAAATCTGAAAACTTCAACAATCTGTATATCGATAACGAAGCGTTTGCGAACAAAAGCTCATATAAAAGAGTCTTATTTCGACCTGAGATAAAAATCTCTGAAATCTTGATACTGAATTATTCAAACACACTGTATAAGCCTTCCAAGTAACAAAGTTTTAAGAATCACTGTTACATTTTTTTGAGCTTAATTTCGTGTGCTACCCTGTATTGAGTATCCGTCCACAGAATGCGAGAGTCCTTTTTCATGGTACATGCCATACTGTGGAATAATAATACAGTGTATTAGATTTTTGAAACGTTATTTTTTCTTGCGAGTTGTTTCGTTTAGATTTGTGACAAGATAAAAAGAAAAATCCTGACAGTGGGAGACCGCAAACACCTTTGGGTGAATTTTCCGAGGCGTATAGGGAATGCAGGATCGGCCCTAGTGCCCTTATTCTGCTCCTAGTATGCTTCGATGGATTCTTGTCGCCATATGCAAATAAACATTCATCAAAATTGAACCGTTCTCTCTGTGCACTCAAACTTCAAACAAAATATGATGAATGTGAAATGAAAATATTCAAATGCATGCTGGAAATGAAATATTTACTGTTTCCTGAAAAAACCTAATTGTGCAACATAAACACAACACTCACCACTGATAACGATTTAACAACTCCCCCACCCATTGGGTATCCTCAGTGAGATTACCCATATAAAGGGCTTAGCCCTAGCCTATAGGAAATAGGTGGCTGTGCACTCACATTTATTGGCCAACACCAGCTACCACTGGGATTTCGAATATACAATTTTAAAACGTTTACAAAATCTATCATTCATATAATGTGTCTGTAATATTTGATGTAAACAGAAATGAATGAATAAACAACTTCAATATAATACTAGTAACCAGAAAATCGGAAGGTCTCTAGATCGAATCCCCGGCGGAGCAGAGTTTTTTTTAATCCAAATCCGTGAAAAATACAACTTTTTCACAATTTCTTATGATACAGGATGAAGAAAAGGACATAGACAGGTGAATAGATACTCAAAATACACAAGAAGACTAAACATTTTTTACTCGGTTGTAGAAAAGCTCGTACTGTCGTAGTCGTGATTTGTTATTGTTTTCTATAATTTTGTTCTGATGCCGGTTCTGTGTTTGGTGATTAGGTTTACCGGATATAATGCGGGATTTCGCGTCGCATTGTTATCTCGAAGGTGATATCTGGAGAACAGACGGATTGGATGGCGTATGAAAACGCGCCAGAAATTTGAATACAAATCTGATTTGATAAAGCGGCCTGGAAAATGCTGCCTTTCTTTTCGAATATGGCTCTTTTGTGGTGTCTCAGATGCCATTTACAGGAATCCTATATCCAACGTTGATTTTCTCAGATACGAGCAAAAAATAATAATATGCATATATATAGAGATCAAATTCCGGAAAGCGCACACTTTTATAGGTAAGTAGCTGTATCCTACCTATTTCTAGTCATTTCATTGATTATAGCTGACCCGGCAAACGTTGTTTTGCTATATGTAATATTTTTTCAGTTGAATATTCAACAACACACTTTTATTATTTTATTTTCTACTTCTGTTTAGATTGACTAACCATATAAGCGTTTTTTCTTGGTTTTCCAAACTACTATCCGTTTTCTACTTCTTTTCAGTTCGGTAATAATAATAATAATAATAATACTTTATTTCCACTTCGACAAATAACATTGTTTGGAAATTGTCAATATAATATAAATCAGTAGAAAAAATGAAAAAAGAGTTAGATAGATAAGAGAAAATATAGTAATAGAATGGAATAGCTAATTCCTAAAACTGATCTTATTCTAAAAATTCTGAAATTGTATAAAAACATTCTTCCAAAAAATAGTCTTTCAACATATTTTTAAACATAATGATGTGTTTGACAGATCTTAAATCTTCAGGGATTTTATTGAATATTTTAGATCCAATGCAGTCCGGGGCAGATGAACTCACTTTACACCTTGCTGACGACAAATTGAAGTGATTTATAATTCTTGTGTTATGGTTATGTAGATTCTGATTCATTGTAAAAGTCAATCTATTTTTTGAAACATATACACTATCTAATTAATTATCTAATCTAATCTTATCTCTTCAACGCTATTTATTACCTACAGCTCGTTCGACACATTGAATCCGCCATCTTGAATTTCCTAATTATGACGGAGGAATCATCATCTCCGACCCCAAAAACTTTCAGAAAACAATTTTAAATAGAATCGGATCATAATTAATAAACTCGTATGCCATATTGGATCTGCCATTCAGAATTTCTAGAATTTTACAAAAGAATCATAATCTCCGAATCCGAAAACTCCCAGATACCAATTTTGAAGAGAATCGGATCATAATTACAAAAGTCGTCCGCCATATTGGATCCTCCATCTCGAATTTTCAAATTTTGAGGAAAGAATCATAATCTTCGACACCAAAAACCCCAGATAACAATTTTGAATAGATTAGGATCATGATTGCAAAATTCTTCCGCCATAGTGGATCCGTCATTTGAATTTCTTATTTTTTTCTCTCATAAGAACCTTATCCTGACAATAACAAACATAACAAAAAAAAAAAGAATGAGTGGAGTCGGACCAGCCGTTCACGATTCTATAAAGGACATACACAGATAAACATTCATTTTTATATACCGGGTGACACAGGGTATCGGGCCACCCTTGTAACTTCCGCAGTTCTATAGTTCTACAGTTATGTAAGCATCCATTTCAGATTTGATGATATAACTATCCAATATGGTGGACTTCCGATTTTTATGGAAATGCCAGCAACTTCGTTTTCCCAAATGGAACACCCTGTATATTTTTTATATCCATATTTTTCTGTTTACTTAAAGTACATGATGTTTTGATGTCATAGGTTTATTTCATTATCCTTTGAAGACAATACGTAAACGTTATTTTTCGTACGTTAATGTCTACGTGAAGGTACAGTGATTACTTCAACTTTCTAGTGACTCAAGGTTTCTCGTAATTTTACGTAGTAAGCATTCTTGAACTGAATCACTTAGGTAGAATATAGAAAACTGAAATTCTCAACGTGGAATGAGATGGAGGCAAAGACAACAAATTCAAAGTAATGTCCTTACAGCATTTTATACAATGAACGATAATGCAAACAACAATTTTTTTGGCTTCTCGCAAGTTTTATCTGAACGAATACTAGACCGCTGTTTCGGTATTGCGGGAGACCCTGTGTTTATGTAAAATGTATTGACAGCTATTTCAGCCGCCATATTTAATCCATCATGCATAAAAATGTCTTTCGGAGGACGTAAGAACTAACGAAATTTTCGAGGTCGGGTAGCCGAAATTCAATAAAAAAATCCGGTTTTGTCGCGGAATCCACAGAATCACGTATTATCGCGCAAAGTTGCGCAAAGAATATAGACTCAATATTCTTGTTATTCCCATGCGTCTTACTGGAACAACTTGATTTAAATTCAAATTTCTGCTTCTTTCACGCGTCCTCATTTCCCTATCCAATCTGTCTATTTTCCAGACATCGCTTGCGAGATAACAATGCCGCATCAATCGCAGAATCTTATTTTGCAGGAAAACCGTGCTGTAGTTTATACTGCTGCTCGAACTTATCTCCAGCATGATTTTTCTCAGACGAACTAGAAGAAGCCACAACGGAAATGATGAATCGTGACGAGTATTTTATAACATAGGTGATTTGGCAAAACCACTGCGAGGATAAAATAATGCACCACCATTCCCAAAATTATTACCTATATGTCGCTTCAATATCAGAAATATTCACTGAAATTCAATTTCTAATTGAAACGATTAGATCTGTGTAGTTACTCATGACCCTCTTATGAGCCTTGTAAATATGTTCGTATATTTGTATTAACTCGAACGTGCTATTGACCCACTTCAATTTTAATTGAAACTTAGCGCACTTTTTATTATTTAATTGTTCCATTATTCTAATAAGGATTTTCAGGATGAGTGATTTTTACAACCAGAGACACAGCAGTCTTGCACCAAGTATACTCGTATGGTATGAAAATAATAATAACCAGAGAGGCGGAATTGTCTTGCACCAAGTACTCGTATGAAATGAAGTTTCCGGAGAGGAAGCTTGATAAACAGTTACAACATCCAAGGAAGGCAACAGGTGCGCAAATTACCCACTCCCACTTCGGCGGAACAAAAAAAAAACACGTTCTGTATTTAGCCCACTAAAATATAGAAAATAAATAGTACGCAGGGTATAATATGAACTTCTAGTCATGTTGTAGCCATCTGATGGCAAAGCTCTCGGGTAGGATCAAGAGATCGCGACACACACTGTATGGCGCTGCCGTCTATAGTCACACGTACAGACCCTTACGTCTGTACGCTACATAGTGGTACTACAGACAGATGGCACTACCTGACATGTACTTGAGTGGATTTTTCCACCGACCTATTCAACTGTTAGATCGCATAACCTAGAGATCCAGGATGAACAGAGTGGTTTACTTGTAGTACCACTCTGTAGCATATAGACGTGAGGGTATGTACGTGTGACTATAGATGGCAGCGCCATACAGTGTGTGTCACGATCTCTTGATCCTACCTCAGAGCTTTGCCACTAGATGGCTACAACATGACTAGAACTTCATGCTATACCCTGCGTTCTCGAAATGGGTGATATACCTACCAGAAGCGTAGAGTTGTCCCAGTTGTCAGCAGACCCAGAGCGGCTGATGAGACCTGGTGGGTCGAAACAGTACTGTCTCGCTCCTGCTGACAATTGGGGCAAATCTGTTCATCTTGGATCTCTTAGTTATGAGATCTAGCAGTTAAATAAATAGTAGTTTGGGAAACTAGAAAAATTGTCCCATCCGTTATCATCATTTTTTATGTTGTGTATTCATCAACACACTTTTATTATTTTCAACTTTTTTTCAGTTCGGCTATCTATAAAAGCGTATTTTTTAGTATTTTGAACTACTATTTATTTTTATTTCAATTCATTTCAAATCGGATTTGGAATTCATGCGTCCCCTCTGCAATTTTTCATGAATATAATTGTTAATTTTTGAACAATAGTGAAGAAAATTTTGATACCTGGATTAAAATGAATTTTGTTGTGTTTACCTGAATACGGTTCTGCACAACAAGGATAGTACTCTTCGTTTCTTGTGGCTGGTACTGCCAGAATATCCCATTCCACAGATAGGTAGAATTCTGATAAATCAATTCCCACTTTCACTATATTGCTTCCAGAAATTTGATCCATATGTTTCAAGTCGATCTAAAATAAAAACCTCCTCTATACCAGAGATTATACACTCTCTATACCAAACATGTTCACAATTTTTGGACCTACATGTATTACTGAAATAAATTTTTTTCTATACCTGCTACTATACTCAAACCTTTTCTGTTTCTTTTGTGATTTCTTATTGTTCGAGCTCAAGAACCCCAAATTGGACACATATAACGTGATAATAGGTATCGAAAGTCCTCCAGCAAATTTAACGTACATTTCACGAGCGTAGTTGCCTGATGAAGTTCAGACTGAGGAAATACAGCGCTCCATCTGATGAGTTTTCCGGTTTTAGTGTGATGAAGTTCTAGCTTTTATGTCTTCTAATAAGACTCATCTCGGTGGGTCCAAGATTCGAATTGCTAATTTGTGAACTATAGCTATTGTTTCTGAGCCCGCTTCCACGGTATCCTATCGCTGATCACGTGACCAGGTGTGCAAGTAGCGTCAATCCAAACCAATATAGAACTGATCTGAGTTTCAAGAAAGATTGTCAGCTGGCCAGTGCAACTGATGAGGCTTGACAAGCCGAAACATTCTGTCTTACATCAGCTGACAATCTATTCACGAAATTTCCCTAGAATATTTCAAGCGGCGTTCACAACCAAACTTTTCACGTTTTTCTTTTTACGTTACGTGGTCTGATTGGTGAAGCAAAGTGTAGAATGAAAATGACACAAAAAGCTGAATATTTTAAGCTTTTTGCGTTGCAAGATGCCATCGTCTGTGAAAATAGAAAAAGTAGACAAATAATATTGTTATGAAAATACATGTTTATATGACATTCTATGGAAGTTATGATAATGTACTGTTTGCTCAAAATTTGTTTTTGTTCATCGTTAGTTATTATCTTATCCGATTTGAGAGGTGATGTCAATTTTTATTTTTCATGCTCTTTTTGGATGTTCAACAGATATAATATAATGTTCGACGTGGCATATAGCCAGAAAAGTAGTTGTTTTCTGTTGAATATTCAGAATGATATCATGTGCATATCTGTATATGTGAAACAGAATGCAAATTTTCTACTTCAGAAGATTTTGTTTTCAAATTCTTATCGTGTATGTTCGATAGATGTAATTCATTGTTCGTCGTGGCATATAGCCAGGAAAGTAGTTGCTTTCTGTTGAATAAACCGAGAGAGAATTGATATTTTCATCACATAGAGAATGCGAATTTTATAATGTAATGGACGACATTTTTAAATAAGCAGGTGCCATGTGACACCTCATTCGAATGGTAAACTGATCGTCTATCCAACAATATGCTTATTGGAATATTTATCCATACAGGGTGAACCATATCTGTTTATTCATTAGAAATACAATGAAAGTATAATAAATCTTCAAATTGATGATTTCAGGTACTTCCCTTGAGATGAGGATACTGTTTTTGAATGAAGGAAATTTACGAATTTTCTCTGTACAGACTCTATGCGATTATGATTTTGTTGAGACGGGTTCCAGACAGTTCCATCATGTTCCATACAGTTCTGCAATATTCAAGTTTTATTCTGACTAATAAGAAACATACACTTTTAATAGCATCAACAGACTCGAATTCCTCACAATTACGAATTCTGTATTGTATCTGCGATATATGCACATCATAATATGATAGTTTGGGACTTGAAGACAATATTTGCAAACTTAATTTTCGGTACATTCGCGGGTACATCAAGCGTTGAGCACTTTATCTTATTTCCATTAGTATTTCTGATGAACTCATAGTGTATTATTTCCAGTTGACATCTATTGCTATATTGGCAATAAAAAGAAGATACGAATTGGCATCTCTTTGAGTCGGAGATTTCCAAAGAAAATAGCGACGGACCTCTTTAGTTTCTTTTATTTCCCTGCCTTTGATACCCTGGATAGAAGAAGACACAATGGTGTGGTAAATCTTTCGTCTCCGACAAAACATATTAACACTTTTTATATCTCTGGAGACCAAACAAGAGAAACTGTAACTGGCCAAGTCACCTAGAAAATCCTATATTTTCCCCAAACGGCCAATCTCCGCTACAAAAATAAAACTTCCCTCATTATTACGGGATCATAGTTGTAACGACAAAAAATAAAACAGTAAAAACGGCTCTGGGAATCTAATATTGCTCTATTTTACGACAAACAACGTTTACTATATGGCTTTATCACGTGCCATTATATTTTTTATTCCATTTAATAATCTGGATGTCTGATGGTGATGGGTATAAACATGCAGAATATTGATCATTCTAAATTTATTGGGAAGGGTGTGAGATGTGATGCTCTGAATATTCTTCATATTCTACATATTTTCATATGATGGCTCGGGCAGATATGGAAGATCTCATTAAAAAAGTTAATCAAAAATATACCCCACTGCATGTATTAATGTATTATGAAGTCACCAATTTCATCTGTGTTATATACATTTAAACACATTTTGAAATATCTACCAGTCAGTCAATTCGATTCTCATCCCAACGGGAGCCATTTCGTATCGATTTCACGTTTTAAATTTTCACCAGTTTATATTTGATGGCACAATTTCGGCTATCTTGAAATATTTCTCTCGAATGTGATGTGGTCGAGCACCCAAAAATACGCGAATCCTCTTAGATTTCGTGCATAGACGAGCTATTTGCCTGATTGGTGATGACACACTCACAGTTTCATCACATATCTGGAATTACACATGCCGTGTGACATAGGGTATCAGGCCACACCTGTAACTTCTGTATTCGGTACAGTTATAGAAGCTACCATTTCGAATTTGATCACATGACAATCCAATATGACGGACTTTTTTCTGGAAATGCCAGCAACTTTGTTTTTTTTTCAAATGGAACACCTTGTATATTTTTACATATTCAAGTTCAACAGGTTAGAACAATTACAATCTTTATGTCAAACTAGCTGTCCGGTCCGGCTTCTCACGATTCGAATCATCAACTGAAAAATTAGCTACATTCGGCTTCATTTCTACATAAACAAAGTAAGTAGCATATATATAGAACAAATAACACGTTAGGAAGGTTCATCAAAAATAATAAAGACAAAACTTCTGAATTCTAAAAATCAGAGGTATACAAATTCAACTGTGGATCTTGCCCTAAGGTATATCGGTCAGACAGGTCGTACGTTTGATCAGCGCATTCATGAACATGAGATGAATTTTTTGAAAAAAACCAAAAACCCCCAGAAGCCAATTTTGAATAGAATCGGGCCATAATTACGAAACTCGTCCGATATATTAGATCCGCCATCTTGAATTTCCTAATGGTACCAGGATAAAAAGTATCCTTTAACCCTCTCCTGGTTCTAAGCTACCTCTCCACCAATTTTCAGCCAAATCGATCCAGTAGTTTCGGAGCCAATTCAATACATACAAACAAACAAACAAACAAACAATCAAATATTTTCCCTTTATAATATTAGTATTGATAAAATAAAGTATTTGCAAAAACCTATTTCAAAAAAATCTGACACCCATCTCACATAATAAAAATTCCCACTCGTGTGAAGCAGAATATTTAAAAAACATTATAGAACTAACCTGGAGACCGTTGTACGTCCAAGACCCGAACTTCATCAGGCAACTCTGCTCATCAAACGGAAAATATTGGACGTTTATTTCGCACGAGGATTTGTAGATGGATGGTGGCTTCCATATTACCTCCCCCGTATACGAAAGGGTAGCCTTGGTCATCAAGGTCACCTCGTAGTTTCCGTCTGCACTGAAACGGACAAAGGAGGTTCTGATGATGGCCTCATCGGAGCTTGAAACGTCTTCGCATTAGATTTTTATTATGTTCATTATATCAATGAGCATCTACAGTGTGCATTCTGATGATCAAGTAGTTCTAAAAATATTTTCACATATCGAGTGAAAATTGAATATTCCTTTGTCACTCATCGGAATGGAGAATTTTTTCATATCAAGGTTACGACATCTTGATGGCTAATACTTTCGCGAATGACGTTTATCAACATTTTCGAACCCTGGGCAAGAATTTTTGGAACGTCATGAGCGAAATTGAAGCAGCAAGCTGGAGTATGTCAATCGACGGACATTTCCAGGAAAATAGTATCACGAGTTGTATTCGTGTGACTATTTCATGATTGAGCGCCTCGCGCGATGATTTTTAGTAAACAAAAAATATCGCTGTAGGATAGATACAGGAAAAATGGTCGATTCTGATTGGTTCTAAAAAGAAGAGTGGAACATAGTCACCAATATTTTTTCGTAGTCGTTGGTATACGAAATATCCTATATATTTTCTGCAGCAAGCTTGATAGTTCATGAAATGAGTCACTAAAAATTGAGATTATGAATTACCAGCTCAAGTTGTTTAATTGAAACAACACATTATCAATAATATCAATATGTATACCTATGAAAATAAAATTGCTATAGGCTTTTATGTGTTCCGGAACTAGAACGGAGCTGTCTTCTAGTAGATATTTTGTGAAAAAACAAAAGGACCAATAAAGCGACTAGAGGAAAATCGGAAAGAAATATATTCCCTGCGTTGGAAAAATACCGGGAAAAGTATTTGCTTTTTTCGCTGCGAAAACAACCACTCTTTGTCTTAGTCTGCGAATGCAATTTTCTGTTCGGTTGATTTATAATGCCGATAGAAAAGAATGGATCATATTATACGGTTTTCCCAGTTTGGTTATGGTACTGTTGACAGGTAACAAATAGAAATTCAAAGTTTGACCAGGATAAATGAGTTAGTCCCGCGGTATCATTCACTATTTTCTGCACTTTAAGATTTAGTTTGACACGTACTATTGATCATTTCTACAGTCTTCTACGGAGCAAGGGATCAAAGAGGTCATTTTGGTCCCTATAGGACTATAGGAAACATATTTGAGTCCCAATAGTGCAAAAAATTATGATGATATCTGCCTTGATTTCAATCTGAAATCGTTACCAAATTCTGGAATGCTTACTTGTTGAAAAGAACGATATCTGGTAACCAAATATGCTCCGATGGGACGTATAACATTTCTACCCCTCCGTATTCTTCTGGATCCCATCTCAACTTGTAATCGTACCATTTCTGATGAAAAAAACAAGAGATTATAATCATTGAACATAACAATAATGATCAACTCTGCTTTTCACATTGGGCATAGAGACAGCTCATTCAAGAAACACCATCATAAGTTATTCCAACACAAATATATCATAAAACTCCAGTTACTCACTTGCACTACCCATAAATTGGTGGTCATTATTTGGTTTTTGAGGTTCATCTCGATCAGCTGAGATAATTTGAGGCTCAGCCACACTGTGAGCGACTCTGTGTGGTTGATGACTGGTCTGATTAGCCTATTGTAGTTGCTGAGCAAATCGTCGTACAGTCTCTTCGCGTCCGGGTTGGCTTCGATATGCTTGATTGCTAAAATTAACGTTATAAGGCCGATATGTAGCAAATAACGGATGCAGTTGAATAGTGTAATCCGAGGCGCAGCCGAGGAATATAACAATCAAATCCATGTCGTTCAAGACTTTTCGTAATCCCGCTGAAAGATTTCATTTTGATTCCGAGGACAGATCAAACCACGTGCCTCTCAATTTTACAGACGAATCCCAACATCGTGCCATCATGGAACAGCTTAACAATATCACAATAATATTATAACGGCCGCCAGCCGTCAAACAATCTTAACGGATGGAGGCTGTTAACATTAACTTTTCAATTGTCATCTGAATACCGTAGAATCAAAATAACGGTATGGGATTACGGAAAAACTATTGAGTGCATGGTCGGTTAATACAGGGTCTTTCAACGAAAACTCGAGAATTCGGTTATCTAGTTATGAGCAGGGCATAACTAGATAACCGAATTCTCTACCAGAAATCGCCAGGACCCGTCTTTTTTTATACTTGGGGGAGGAGAGGATTTTAACAGTTAATTCAACTCGATGTGTTCATCCCCTAACCCCTAGCAGCCCAAACTTGGCCAACTTTGGAATTTCAAATAGAACTACCCTATATATAGTTCCAACACATAATTTTGTTCCCCTCTTCATTGCGAATACTCTGCTGTATCGTTTTTTGAAATCGGTTGAAATTCGACAGAGCTATTGAATACAATCAATACTTGATGAACCAACATTTTCGTTATAATTTTTAAACGAAAATTGCCATCAATTGAAAGGTTTTTATTAACTACATATACATCCCTCTTCTTAATCTTCTTTCTTGTGTCGTTCAATTCACCAAAAATAAAATAGTCAAAAATTGAAAAAGCTGACGGGAAATTAGAGTTTCATTCAATGCATAGTTCAAAATGACCTCCATTAACTTGCAAACAATGATATAGAACACATCTGGTGTTATTAATCAGCATTCTTCCATAATTCTCTCAAGACTGTTTTGGGTTGCGTGACATATACAATCACTATTTCAAATGACCCCATAAAAGAGTCCAAATGTGTAAGATCAGGTGAACTTGGTGGCCATTCGATGAGACCTCTTCTACTAATCCAAAAACCTGGGAAATGATCATCTGAAAATTGGCGCACAGCAACAGGATAATAAGGTAGTGCACCAAAATATTTTATTTTCTATGAATTTGTTTGCATAGAATAAAACCATAGGACAATAGTCTTCGAAATATACTAATGAATATGCAATTGTATATTAGATGAGAAGCTATTGATTAGTGGGAATTTTTTAATATAAATTATAACCCGAATGTCAGTTATTTGACAAGTATTGTCAAGTATTGATTTTGTTCAATAACTCTGTTAAATCTCAACAGATTTCCAGAAACAATGCACCAATGGAGTCGCAATAGAAAGTCCATTGAAATGATATGTTCGTTTAACTATCAATAATGATTCCCCTAAGTATAACAATCGACAGTTCTACTTTGGGGAGGGAGGGGGGGTCAAATTTCCGTTGGAAGACCCTGTATGTATATGACTATGTAATGATGAATATGTACTTACCACAAACATTGTTGAGCATGAAGATTACGGTCAGTCCGAAACACAGTTCACATTTCAACAAATTCATGCTGTTTTTGAGCTAGTTTGTTACACCCACATTCCGGAAACTTCAGGGATGCTGTGTCTGTACCGCACTGGATCTGGCAAAATCGATAAGCCAGACGCAGACTCACTGATTTCCATTTTTTTTGACAGATCTCGGGCTGATTCAAGAACAGCGAAAAATGTCGGGAAATAAAATTCTAGACGAAATATTGGAATACTGGGGCTGTGTTTCATTTCAATATAATAAGAACAGCGAAAGATGTCGGGAAATAAAATTCTAGACGAAATATTGGAATACTGGGGCTGTGTTTCATTTCAATAAAATAATGATTTATTTCATAGATATTTTCATAAACGATGCTCTTCTGAAATATCAACAATTGTTCCTCCCTTGGCAGTCCCCGCAAGATTAACCCGTCGAGTTGAGGCTTCGCATCCCTTCGTGGTCACTTTGGAGACCTGCAGAGTGCAGAACATCTCTTTCCACAGACTCGTTCAACCAACGAACAGCGAGGCTCTGGAACACATTGCCATGGGAGGTGTTCCCTGAGGCATATAGCCTACAGAAATTCAAGGAGAACACCAATTCCAACCGTATTTCCCTTGATTCTCACGATGTTCTCTGAACATTACAGGATATCCCTTTTCGTGGGAACCAGAACATAAAAAAATATATTCTACATATAAACTATAGATGAGGTGTAAACGAAACACCACGAATATTCTTTCTGAAGTTGAGATATTAAGTACGTGAAAAAAATACATGATAGGCACCTATTTGAGGAGGTATCATTATCAATAGTTTATTCAAAGTTATCGATATCCACAATATTTTGGAACTGAGTCGTGACTATTAAATATTATTTTATACATGAGGATGTGATATACGAACATGTTTACAACACAATTACAAACGAAAAAAACACGGATACCACATCATTGAATCTAGCATGACTCAGTATTGATCATGTATCAGGTTTCAGGTTGCATTGAAAGCACGACAAGGCAGTGTTGAATTCGCCGAGGTTGAATTGTATTTCAAAGAAAATCCATATCAGAATTTTATTTCTTAGAAATAGGTGACTAGTTTTCTACTGAAAAATCCAATCCAAATCCACAGAAAAAGTACTGGAAATTTTGAGAAATAAATCAGTAGGAGATGGGAGAGTCTAGAAAACCCCCACCCCTCCACCAAACCACGTGACTCGACTAGGCAATCACAGGCCGGCAAATTGAAAAAATATGGAGACCAGCATTTGGTATGTGGGGTGGTCTAACCATGAGACAGCCTGTATATGTTGTGAATTGCTATTCAACTCAAACACCCCGTATATTCATCTTGCACTGATGGCTTGCAGATAGTCAACTTGCAGGTCAGGTTAGGCTAGGTCATGTCGATTGTTTGATATCTGTCAATGGCCCTCTGTCAAACGTCATCTTTCATACGTTAGCTATCTAATATGATTGCTGAGCCCACGTGTGATGAGTCGCCCTATTTTTCCAATTTGCTGGCCTGTGATTGGCTAGCCAAGTCACGTGATTGGGCCATCGCCATCATTTTATCGCCCCCAATAAAACATTCGAAAAATCCATGTTAAACCTCAAACTTTTCGAAAATTATCACATATTCAGATATCACCCTATAGGTCATCATGTCGGAAAGGTGGAACAACGAAAAAGTACTGAAGTTGTACTCAATGAAATGAGCTATTACAATCTTGGAAGAAATTGAAAATGGGTTGATCCAATCCAAAGTTATGACGGTTCGCAAATGATAGAAATTGTTGCTTGTCTTACATACGAAATGAAATATATTCAATATTGATTCATGAGTGTGTCTTGGTTCTTTTCATTTTGGAACACTAGATCCTGCACTTTTATTGAAACTCCAAGCCCCAAGAGCAGAAGAAGTTACCTACTTCCGAACTATGCATATTATTTCATCATTACTGTATTCTCAGTCGAATGGATTCCTGCATTTGAATATAGATTGGAGCATTCAATGTATAATTGAAATAAAACAAATTTATAGTTGAATACTTGGAAACGAACACTTACATCATTCCAAATTACTTTTTTATCGATTTTCAATACATTTCTCTGCCAGATTGAAGATTTTAATTAATGTAAAAGCTCATTTCGTTCGGTTTCCAAAACAACCCACTTTCTGGCATGAGAATAATAAAAAAGTAATTAATTCTAAGACTGCGGAGGGTCCGCTCTAAGTGTTATTCAAAACTCTGAACATATTGTTCTTTTCGGCATGCTGGGAGGTAATAACGAAATCGGAATGAATTCACTTGGATTGAACTTTGCGAAACGAAGCAATTAAATTGAGTCTAAAAGTCTAAACGATATTTGGGTAGGTATCTCGTTTCACTTCATTTTGGGACAGGAGTTCTGATAAGCAGTATTGGGTACACAGAAAATAATTTTGTACGTAAAGTTGATGAACGGCGGTCGTCAATTTTTTGAACATTAATATAACGAATCGATGATTATTACAATCATTTCTGATGATGGGTTCATACCGCAAGACACTGAAACAATGAACGAGCCAACATTGAACAATGAACGAAAAACATCAAAAGTTAATCATTTTTTTTTATTCATGTGATGAAAAAATTCATTGAATCAACGTTTGATGTTTATTGATCTGTTTTTCATCATTGGAGCAATAAACTTTTCGTCATAGATCTATCAACAACGAACATAAGAAAATAATGAATGGTTTTCATTGTTTCAATGAACACTAAACGTTGATTTCATGAAATGAAACATCAACTTCCAAAACAGGCGCCAAATTAATGCTGCCTACCCATGGATCAATCACGCCAAACATTATTACTATGAAAAGGTTTCATAATACGCGGTGGATTTTTCATTTGCCGTTTTATTTTATTTCTATTCGTTCAGTTGTTAATGAAAAGTTGAAAGGGCTGGGTCGTGTTTTGTGTTTCTGTGGCTCGTAGAATTCCTACCTATTTGTGAAATTGTGCCAGATCAAAGGGATACAAAACCTAACATATTTGAGGAAGGTGAGACCTGTTAATTGCGATTTTTGCAATTTTCAGGAATTTAGGAATTTTAAGGCATTTTTGCGATTTTTGCAGTTTTCAGGATTTTTTGCAATTTTTGCAATTTTCAGGCATATTTGCGATTTTTGCAATTTTCAGGAATTTTTTGAATTTTTACAATTTTCCGGAATTTTTGCAATTTTCAGAAATTTTTGCAATTTTCAGGAATTTTTGCAATTCTCAGGAATTTTTTGAAATTTTTACAATTTTCCGGAATTTTTGCAATTTTCAGGAATTTTTGCGATTTTTGCTATTTTCAGGAATTTTTGAAGCAGAAATGCTTCAGAAAATATGCAAATATACTGGGCATTCCAATTAAGAAAATTGATTGAGATGTTAGGATGTTACCAGATCTAGTAACCTAACCTAAGATATGTTACCAGATCTAGTAACCTAACCTAAGATATGTTACCAGATCTGGTAACCCAACCTAAGATATGTTACCAGATCTAGTAACCTAACCTAAGATATGTTACCAGATCTAGTAACCCAACCTAAGATATGTTACCAGATCTAGTAACCTAACCTAAGATATGTTACCAGATCTAGTAACCCAACCTAAGATATGTTACCAGATCTAGTAACCTAACCTAAGATATGTTACCAGATCTAGTAACCTAACCTAAGATATGTTACCAGATCTAGTAACCTAACCTTAGATATGTTACCAGATCTAGTAACCTAACCTAAGATATGTTACCAGATCTAGTAACCTAACCTAAGATATGTTACCAGATCTAGTAACCTAACCTAAGATATGTTACCAGATCTAGTAACCTAACCTAAGATATGTTACTAGATCTAGTAACCTAACCTAAGATATGTTACCAGATCTGGTAACCCAACCTAAGATATGTTACCAGATCTAGTAACCCCACCTAAGATACGTTACCAGATCTAGTAACCTAACCTAAGATATGTTACCAGATCTGGTAACCTAACCTAAGATATGTTACCAGATCTGGTAACCTAACCTAAGATATGTTACCAGATCTGGTAACCCAACCTAAGATATGTTACCAGATCTAGTAACCTAACCTAAGATATGTTACTAGATCTAGTAACCTAACCTAAGATATGTTACCAGATCTAGTAACCTAAGTATTGTAGTTGTAAACTGCAATCAGCTTCTCGGTTATATTTTTGTAATTTGATGTAGATGTACTCTGTATACTCATGTACAGGGTGGCTGGAATTAGAGCCTCTTTATTTTGATCTTGTGAACTGTACGAGATTCAGGGTCGGTTGAATAATGGCAAAGTTGGCCAATTTTATGTTTAACAAAATGCTCTGTGGAAATCTGAGAAACATCCGTGGTGTCAATTTACACCTTCATAGTGAAAAATCACAAGGACTTGGTCATTTAGAGGGGTTCTGATATATCCATTCAAAATAAACATCAAAAGTAAGAAAAGTAATTACCTTCGATAGTGGTATTATTCAAGCTAACGGAAAAAATACGCTTATATGAAATTTACACCTAGTGACACCCTGACCAATCACGGATAAATCAAAACCGTGTATGGTTCATGAGATATGGGGCTAATATAATTTACTCATCATCTTGCATTCTCCCATGTGAATAAATAATATTGTTGATGTTGAAATTATCCCCTGAAAAACCCAAACTCATTGAGAGGTGACATTAAGAATGGACGATTTCGTGAAAATATTTTGGAGTTGATTAATCAATTATATATATGATGATGATGAGATTGCGAAGCTACATAGAGTATTTATATCGAACAAGATTGAAACATAAAATTGAAAGTATAAATTTTGTGCACAGAAAAATATTGAGTAAATATCTTGATAGATGGCGACTCTGGCGCTCCTTCGACGCTCGTCTCTCGACAGCCTTCAAATAGTATCAGTTCAGAGATATTTTGTAATGTCTCAACTCTCATTACAATGGATCATTTCATACATTGAATACTAATGTTAG